CAAATACATGGGATCTCTAGATGTTACATCTACATTTACTAATATCCCTTTAATGGAATTCATCAATTTTATTTGTGAACAATTATTGAGAATAAGATAAGACACTGCCATTCCGATGATGAATTTGAAAGAACTATTCCTAAGACGTACAATGAACGTCCAGTTTATCTTAAACAGTAATCTATACAAAAAAGTGGATGTAGTAGCTATGGGATCAACATTGAGAACAATATTTGCAGACATACTTATGGCAAAATTGGAAAATAGTCCTTTGGAAATCATGCATGATACTTTTTCAGTCTTCGATAGGTATTTATACATTATTTTTCCCTTGGGTTCCTAGTGGAACATAGGACTTCACTAGTACGTCTCCACTGCACTCTCTTCTCTCCCTTCTTTTCAACCTGGCTCCACAACTGCCTGCCCATAACCTTTCATTTCTTCCTCACACCATCTCCTACACGTCACCCTCATCTGGGACGCCCAACTCGTCGTTTCCCTTTGGCGTTCCACTCTACAGCCTGGTCTCACATGTCATGTCCCCAATCGGTCTTCCTTCTCAGTGTGTCCAACCCATATCCACTTCCATCTGCATATCTCTTAAACAAAAGCTTGTTGCTTGGTTGGTTCCTTCTAAGGCCACAGTTTCCCCTTGCTTATTCTCTCTCGCCTTCTCATCTTATCTTCAGTAACGAGCCACCGTACAAGGCAGCTGTTCATCAATGTCTGTAGTTTACTTGAAGTGCTTTTCGTGACACGCCAACTTTCTCAACCATATAGCAGCAATCACTTGACTGCATTCGTGTTGAAAATCTGGACCTCGTTCACGATTTGTACTCAGTGCAGTAGATCTCCAAACTAATTTAAGATTAGTAAAAGCCTCTCTTTCTGTCTTTCCGATCATGCGTTTTATTATCCTCGTCTGTGCCAACGCCACCTCTACTTCAAATGATGCTGCCTCCTGTGTAGGGAGGTGAAAGAGACTACTTCCTTTAGGCTTCTCCCGTTAATCCTGATTGGTGCCTCTTGTTTTTCATGCTCTTGTTCGTTGTGTGGTATCTTCATCAACTCCATCTTATCCACATTCACTTGAAGTCCCGTCTTCATTGGCTACCCTGTCTCACCTCTTCTGTCAACTTCTTAGTTTTCGCCTGTACATCTTCGAGCTTCTGTGAAATTAGACACAACTCAGCGGTAAAATCCAAATCTTCTAGGCTTTTTCATCAGTACAGAGTATTCCTCTCTTCTCGCTCATCACGGTTTGCTGCATGATCCAGTCCACCACAATCACAATGATCAACCATGATACTAGACAGCCTTCTTTCACTCCTGTCTTCACTTCAACAGCATCACTGAGCCAAGCATTCCATTGTGCATCACTTCACATGTGCTGCTCTCATATAGATGTTGAATGAGATTCATCAAGAAAAGGTTTGTGGTGGTAAATCCCTAGTGTTGGAGCAACTGCCTGTCAAATTACTTCTCGGTCGACGACTCGATCAAACGCCTTTTCAAAGTCGATGAAGTTGAGGTACACGTAGAGTTGACTGCCATTCTATACTCTATTCTATAATGATGCGTAGAGTAGTGCTGCAATTTGATAGGCACATAATCTGTTCTTCCTCAAGCCAGTCAGCCAGCCAGCCTGTTCCGCTCGTGATTTTGAATGCAAAGCATCTTTTAGTCTCCCAGGATGATTTGGCATAATATTTTGCTTGGGGTGGAGAGCAGCATGATTTCTTGCCAGTTCTTGCGAAAGCTAAGGTTTCCGTTCTTTGGGAGTTCGACAAGCAGGTACCTTCCCTTCCTTCCTAACGAACCTTCTGCAGAAGTGGTGTAAGCATGTCCGCTCTTGTCTTTGCGTCTGTTTTCAGTGCTTCTAGCGGAATTTCATCTGGTCCTGCTGCTTTACCGGATTTCCGCAACTTTATGGCATTCAGGACTTCTTCGATAGGTACATATGTAATAATTTTATTCTGAACTATTTCAACAACGCTCATCCATCAATTCATTTTACACATAAAAATGAAATCAATGGTTCAGTACATTTGCTTGATGTGCTAATGACAAGAAACAAAGATGGCTCGATACTGAGAAGTATATTTAAAAACCGATGTCTAAGGCAGAGTGCACATACACTTTTTCAGCTTCGCATCGATTAAGTATAGATATATTATATAATTGGGTGCCTGGCTTTCAGAGTAAGATAGATTTGTTCCAAGGAATGTGTGGAAAAAGAAATACTGTATACCTGTGATATTCTAAGTGAATACGGATATCCTGACAAATTCACCAAAACTAACATCAACTACATTGGTCATAAACGGGAACTGATGAAATTGGGGAAGAAGCCTTTGTTTCTGCCCTTACAATTCAAGCGAGACGTTGCAAGTGGTATTCTATCACAACGCCTAGCTAGACCAGTCAAAAGGGCGTTTTATACGGGTCGGCTTTGTATATCATTCAGTCAGTTCTCAGTTCTAGACTAAAGAATAACCTACCTAATCCTAGCTTTTCATCTTGCATATACCAATTTAACTGTTCCTGTGGGACTGGTTACATAAGGTGTACGATTAGGCAGATGCGTCTCCGGATACGAGACGACTTACCAGCTTGGTTCGGAGTGAAGTGAAAGTGGTGTAAACTTCAGTCCTAGGGAATCTAATCGACACAGGGCATCCCATAGATGCTAATAAAGCATTCAATGTCATTCATCGTGTTCCGAAAGCGACACCTCATGTAGCTCGCCAGTGCCTGTTCAACATAGCGGTTGTCACAATAAGATTGATCAAGCGTGAACTCTGAATTCAGAAAGAACATTTCCAAGCATTACTTTCCCTTGGCTTTCAGCTAACCAAAGGCTACTCCTACCATCTTATTCATTATCTTTTTGTTCACCATTATATCATTCTCCTGTATATGCATCATCCAAATATTGACTCTTTTACAAAAGATAAATCAATTTCCTTACAATCCCTAAATCTCACTCCATTTTTAAAATATAACTGCCTATAACATGGCTTGTTTTTATGCTGTACAAATGCATTTTATGATTATAGAATCTGAAGAGAATTTATTGAAAAGAATATTCTCCGTTGAGATTGCTGCTTTTTATAGTATAATTAACTTGTTGGGGTGGGGATACTAGCAGTGAGATATCCAGGACAAGCATTTCGTCTTATTTAGTAACTTAATATTTGTTATAGTGATCTATTACTTATTTATTCAGACTGAATACAATTGACGAAATCCTGAGGTAAAACAACGTCCTCTTATTCTGCAAATGATGTCTTCATTGAATTATTCAAATCCCAGTAATTATTCCTACGTATGAATCAAGACCGCATTGCCTGTCTACTTAAAATTCTCATTAGTAACTCAGTAAATGTGACACATCACATACTTCATCATAATCCCAACAGCACATACTTAATGTAAGACTTACACTACATGAAATACAATATATAGTTGAGTGAGTCACCTTCGCTGAGATAGCATAGAAGATTTGTAATTCACCTCAGGAATGATAAACGTTATATGTTCACAGAACATAAATTCTGCTTTTAAACGTTTCATAACCACTTGCTCCATCATCGGCGACATTTTGAATATATGGATTTCATCGCACCCAGCCTATGAACATGTTCCAATGTTTAAGAAGACATTTTGTATTCTTTTATTCCTAAAGATCTAATTTAGCTTTTCTTCCAGCGCTTATTGGTTCACACCACTAATGAGGCAGTCACCAATGGGTATAACCTTCTTCCCACTGAATCCAGTAATCAGATTTTAATTTACTTCGCGAAGGATCCATTAAGTTGAATGCAGTGTAGATATCCGTTTATCCAACAGATACTTATGTACATTTTCCATCATTGTTTAGCACACACTCTATCCTATTAACCTTGATGAATAATCCAAAACAATTGCTGTTTGATAACGTCCTCAGAATAATCTAGATACATTGCTATTTGTCCATCCATCCAAATAAACATAGGATCAGGCATTACTGCCTCACGCTACAACTTCTCACACCTCATATCAAGACATCAAGTGAAGTGAAAAAGTGAAAAAAACGAAATTCAGTCAAAACAAATGTAAAATACTAAAACAGAGAAAGGAAACATGAGAAAATGGTGAGATTAGGTAAAGCGTTAAGATGAGGATAATGTGTGTAGGGATACATCTGTGCTACTGACATCGGTTATCACTCATGTGATCACCCAGACTCAGTCTCCAACCACTGGTTCCTCGTGTCCCGCCAACCCCAACCACCTACTCTCCATCGCCCCACCACATGGCTCAAACCAACAGTCAACGACTTCATATATTGATGTCATGCTTTAGTCTGGCCACCTCGAGCTCTTTTCCGGCCTGAACTTACTTCGGCCAACATTGTGTGACGAGGCAATCGGCAACTACGCATACGTATTACGTGTTCCAACCAGTCATCTCAGTCGATGAAGGCTAACAACCTCGTCAACTGATTTACCTAAGAGGTTGTGAACCTTCATCGACTGAGATGGTTGAGACACGTGTTACATATGCCTAGTCACCGATTGCCTCATCGCACAATGTTGGCCGAAGTAGATTCAGGCTGGAAAAATGCTTGAGGTGGCCAGACTAAAACATGGCACCAATGCATGAGGTCTTTGACTGTCGGTTTAAACCATGTAGGACGATGCAGACTAGGTGGTTGGAGTCCATGGGACAAGAGGAACTAGTGGTTGGAGACTCTAAGGGATATGCCTGAGAACCGATGTCAGTGGCGCAGATGTATACACACATTATCCTCATCTTAACAACGCTATACTAATTCTCACCATTTTGTCACTCCTCTTTCCTTTCTTCTCGTACTTTATATTTCTTTTGACTGCATTCAATTATCTTCATCCTTCACCTCACTACCTTTTTACTTGATGAACTGACGTGAGGTGTGGCAACTCGGACCGTTACGCAGTAATGCCTGGTCCTATGTTGATAATGATGATGATACTCCTTAAGACTCTATACCTGACTTCTGCATTACTCACGTGGTGACACCATGGAATATGGCCTATACTATGAAGGCAAAAGTGGTGAAACACCTGAAGCCAGACTTCTCATGTCTCCCAACTTCAATGGCCATGTTTCATAGCCATACAGTAGAACAGAGTGGAGTGCTGTACAGTACTCCGGACCCTTAATAGACAATCGGAGACAAACGCACCAGGGCTGGTTCCGCTTCCCAGGTAAATGAAGTGTTCAAAACACACGCAACCACTTCACTCTTTTATTGTTGGCCGAGGCACTGCTGAAGACCAAATCCTCGAGTAACAATTACCATTTGATTGGTGTATACTCAAAGAGTCTGAAGAAGCACTGCAATCCATAGTGTCACAAACTAATAAGATAAGAAGAATGAAAGGCAAAGTCAACCTGAAACAAGTAGAATTATAGCTCATAGTCTCGAAGAAGCTTGTAAAACTAAATCCAGGCCGATAGATCATTTATGAATATACAGAACAGTACACAACTGATTATATAAAGATGAAATAATTACATTTTTGCATACAATTTATCAAAATAATCACCAAAAAAAATTAAATAATATATCCAAAAGAAAACTTTATTAAAATAGAAAAGCTGTACAGATATATAGGTGTATATAACATTAAACTAAATAAAGATTGTACAGATAACGAAGATACTCCAAGCTTAATGTACATCTATTCTCTGATAAGATGTCATCTGGATTGTTGACATTGATTTCAGGATTATTGAGACGGGCTAAACAAGAGAAAAAAATATATTAAGGAAACATTAAAATGTCTGATATAGTACCGAGTCTAAATGGTTGATTACACATATTTGTGAATGAAAAATATCAAGCATAAATGAAGTACTGAAATTTATCGATCAAGAAAATAAACTACAGAGTTCGGTTGAGTTAGACAGTATTGCATTTAATCGTAGTTCTTGTGGATATGACAATCAGTAAAAAAAATGCAGTAGTATGAAACCAGTTATATGAATAATAACAAAACACACGGTTTTTATTATCAATATTTGTCATATCGGTTCCTAGTGGAGTATAGAACGTCAGTAGCACAGCGCCATTTCACTCTCTTCTCTCCAGTCTCCTCAACCTACCTCCACAACCACTCATAAAATTTCATTTCTACATCACACCATCTCATCCATGTCACAATCCCATGTCAAACTCATCATTTCCCATTTCCCTACCAATTCATAGCCTGGCCTAACCTGTCATCTCCACAAACCATCTTCTCACTCTACGTCTAATACAACCCAATACAATCCATATCCACTCTCTTCTTCTGTACATTTGTTGCACGATAGATTCTTCCTTCGTTGCTTGCTTCGTTGCCAGAACACACTTTCTCACTTTTTTCTAGCCTTCTCATCTCATCTTCAGTATCGAGTGAGCGTAGGTGGCAGCTACTCATGTATGTCTGCAGTTCGTTCGAAATGCTTCTCGTAAGGCACTAAGTCTCTCAACCATCACAAACAAGCACTCACTTCACTGACTTATTCTTGAAAATCCGCATCTTGTTCTTTATGCTGAGTGAAGTGCAGTATATCTCCACACTGATTTCCAGTTAATGAAGGTCTGTGTTTCCAGTCCTGGCTTTCACATCCTCATCTGTACCTGTGTCGCCTGTAGTTGAAACGATGCTGCCCAGATAGGTAGGCAGCTGAAAAAAACAACTTCCTTCACATTCCTCCTGTTCATAGTGATTACTGCTTCCCGTTGTTGTTGGTTGGGTATCTTCATCACCTCTATCTTCTACACCTTCACCTGAAGGAAGTCTCCTCTTCCTTCGCTGTCCTGCACTGCCCTACCTCTTCTCTTCTCCCAACTTGTTACTTTTCCCCTGTACATTTCCCAGTTTCTCCGACATCATCATCGGCCAATTCCATATCTTATAGGGTGTTTTCATCGATCAAACAGTGCATGCACACCTTCTCACAGCTCATCACACTTTCTTGCATCATCCAGTCCAGTCAACCACAATCACCAAGATCAACAGTGTTAGTAGGTGGCAACCTTCTCTCACCTGTCAACCTATCTTCACTTCAAAGGCATCACTCAGCTTTCCAGTGTCAACCACTTCGCATGTGGCATCATATAGCATAGCATATGGCCGCTGCTGAATCAGGTTGATAAAGAGTTGTGGAGGTAAATCCGTAGTGTACTTCTCGGTAGACGCCTTGATTGAAGGACTTTTCAAAGTCAATGAAGTTGAGGTACACGTACAGTTGACCGCCAGTCTATACTCTGTTCTATGATGATGCGTAGCGTAGTGCTGCAATTTGATCCGCACATGATTTGTATTTCCTGAATCCAGCCAGCCTATTCGTGTCGTAATTTTTGAAACCACTGCATGTTTTAGTCTTTCCATGATGATACGGCTTAATAGTTTGCGTGGGTCGGACAGGATCATACTCAGTTTTTAAGACTGACTAAACCATATCAAAAGTGATCATATCAACTTCCTAGACTTCTCCTTAGTAAAAAGAAATGATGGAACTGAAGAAAGATCCAATTTGCTCTGACAGTACCACTAATTATGACATAAAAATATTCAACCATATCCTAGTTGAAAATGGCTTCCCTGAAGGCTTTGTCAATACGTATTCGAAAAGTAAACAATGCGAAATAGCAGTTCACATGACTCCAAAAAGGTCAGTATTAAACTGCTTTTTAAAGGAAATGATGTTTTAGGAGTAGTTAAGCGGAGGCTAAAGAAAGCCAATAAAACAACTTATTATGCAGCTAAGCTAGTACTTCTGAGTACCACCAGACGGCTGCTGCAGCAATCAGGAAAAGAAACGACTTCAATTCTCGACATATCTAACTGCATATACCAATTTGAATGTACATATGGAAGCAAATACATAGGTCGTACGGAACATTTATCTAAATGGTTGTGGCAAGTCGAGTTCAAAATCCCGTGGAGTTCCGCTAAAAAACACTTCATGGATTATCCACATGACGTTGACACTACTAAGGCCTACTCGGTTGTCGACATATAGCGGAATAAGAAAATGTTGCAATCGTGGAAGCATGAGCGATTAGAGTTCGTAAACCAAACCTATGTGTACAGACAGAGATAACAGTCATCCTGAATATACCATGGTGTTGAAGTGTATTGAACGTATTCATTTTTATATTTTTCCACTTTATTTCTTTCTACCTATTCACTATCATTCTGCTATACTATAATGTCTTCTTAAATTTCTCCGTCTAATAGTCAAATCACTCATCTCCATCGTTATTATAATTGTCATTGTCCAACTATTACTCTAGTCTACATTAGTTTTTACACTCATACCAAGCGTCGTAACTTATGTTCGTTTACCCTGTTCCAAAATGACAATTGTTCCATATTTTCATTATCCATATTCTCATTGTAATATTATTATTATTATCACTCACTCGCATTATTACTATTATAATCAATATTTTTGTTTATCTAACACCTATGTTCCCTCAGTGTGCACCTTTATCAAGCTTTCTACTTGACTACTAATTATTCCGTTCAAAATGATGTAATCCATCCCTAGTCTTTTATTTTCTATTACCAAATCATTATCCCCTTCCAACCAAATCTTACCTCTGTATGACATAATTGAATGATTCACTCTGTGTTGCCATGCCTCAGTCACTGCCATAGTCTGCTGTATTATGTATGTATCCCTCCATGCACAACAGTATATAAACTCATGTATACAGAGTAAAAGGCTGACGAGTTTTAGTGAAATTTAGGAATTCAATAAATCCTGCTTTAGTTACATTTGTTACTTGTTTTTAAATTTGTATCGGGAAACAAATGTTTTCACTACAATAGTCACTGTGATGGACTGAAATTGGTACTCTAGACATATGAAAGTAATATGTAATAAACCGTTTATTCACCTCTCTTGTTCGCCAGCTTATATTTCTGAATACTGCCAAGACAGGAGTGAAACAAGGCTGTCTAGTATCACCGCTGATCTTCGTGATTGTGGTGGACTGGATCATGCAGCAAACTGTGAAGAGCGAGAAAAGAGGAATACTCTGTACTGATGAAAAGAGCCTAGAAGATTTGGATTTTGCCAATGACTTCTGTCTAATTTCACACAAGCTCGAAGATGTACAGGCGAAAACTAAGAAGCTGGCAGAAGAGGCGAGACAGGGCAGCCAAGGAAGACGGGACTTCAAGTGAATGTGGAGAATACGGAGGTGATGAAGATAGCAAACCAACACCACCACCACCACCAACAACAACAACAAGCCCCCAATCACCATCAATGGGAGAGACTTAAAAGAAGTAGCCTCCTTCACCTATCTAGGCAGCATCATCTCAACTACTGGCGGCACAGGCACAGACGAGCACGTCAAAACCAGCCAGAATCAGAAAGACAGCAAGACAGACGTTCATTAATCTGAAACCAGTATGGAGATCTAATGCACTCAGCATAAAGCGTGAACAACATCCAGATTTTCAACACCAATTCAGTCAAGTTAGTGCTTGTGTATGGTTGAGAAAGTTGGCGTGTTACGAAAGGCATTGTGAACAAACTACACACATTGATCAACAAGTGCCTACTCTGACTCGATACTGAAGATCAGATGGCCAGAATAATAAGAATAAGCAAGAAGGAACTCTGGCTGGCTGGTTGGCTGGCTGGCAACGAACCAACGAAGCAACAACCTATCACCCAACAAATAAGCAGGAGAAGGAAGTGGAGATGGGTTGGATTGAGCATACACTGAGAAGACCGACTGGTGACATCACACGCCAGACCAGACTATAGAGTGGAACGCAAAGGGGAAACGACGAGTTTGGCGTCCGAGGTGAGAGTGACATGAAGGAGGTCGTATGAGGAAGAAATGAGAGCTTGTGGGTTGTCTTGGAACCATTGTTGAAAAGATAGCAGGAAAGAGAGTGGAATGGAGACGTGCTACTGAAGCCCTATGTTCCATTAGGAACCCATGCGACAAATAATAATAATATATACTGTCAAGCAGATATAATTTCAATAGTTTTATTTCTTAACAAGAACCATCAATCAGCATATCCACATTCGAAGAAATACAATCAAATCTTCTAGCTAAAATAAAACTGATCAAACTAGTTTCCGTTAACATGATGATAACAGTGCTCCCTTCGCTCTGTAAACTAGGCAAGAACAGTAATGATCGCCTTGTTCAATATAAACTTTCACCTAGCATTAAAAGGTCAGCGTTGGGATAACTCAACTGCATACAAAATGTTTACTATGAGAAGGCATAATGCTACAATGAATCATTTCAATAATTTTACAGTTTTTTAACTAAGTTCCTATAACAAGCCATAGATATTACACAACATATTACTTTAAAGTTATTGTCCTTAACAACAACAACAACAACAAAATGCTATGAAATCAATATTACCACCTTTAAATTTTGCTGCCTGTGAAAATGCACCACGATTTGAAGCAGAATACTCTAGAGCTGATAATAAACGAACATTCCAAAGATAAGAAATCAAGTTATCAGGACAATCCAATGTAGTATGAAGAAATGTTCCACCACAAGATCCACGTAAACAATCCAAAGAAATATTTTCAAAATATTCTAATCCTTGATTTTGAAGATTTACAAATGCATTACTAAAAGTGTCTACTTGTATAACTGGCCAACCATTAGAATTTTGACCTAAACAACTAATTAGTTGAATAATATTGTCAATAAGGCATTCATCATTAGATGATGATTCAAATTGTGAAAGGATTACACTTTCATAAAACAATCCAAGATATTGAAGGCAACACATCATACGAAATAATAGCTAAAGATAAAACAAAAAGTTATGATAAGATAATGCCGAAAAAAAGCAATCAGAAATGATAATTAATGTACAAATTATGTTTGAGCTACAATCTAACATGACTTATGATGCTATTTAAAGTGGGAACTGAAATAACCAACATGAAAACTTAGAGCGTTTAGACTATGATTTGATAGCAACTGATATCAGTGATTGTTGATCTGGGTTGTGTCAGCAAAGCCAAAATTCTTGGCTAACATCATCAAATCCCTGTCATTAATATTTTATTATTCGTATCTTGGGTTCCTAATGGAACACAGGACTTCAGTAGCACGTCTCCATTCCACTCTGTTCTCTGCAATCTTTTCAATCCGACTCCACAATTGCCCAGAAGCTTTTATTTCTTCCTCAAACGATCTCCTCCATGTCACACTTGTTGAGTGGTAGGTTCTTGGTTGGTTCGTTCCCAGAGTTCTTTGTTGCTTATTCTTTCTCCCCATCTGATCTTCAGTATCCAGCGTAGGCAGCTGTTGATCAATGTATGTAGTTTGTTGGAAACGCTTTTCGAAAGGCACCAAGTGTCTCATTTATCACATACAAGCACTCACTTCACTGACATCAGTGTTGAAAATAGGGATCTCGTCCACGCTTTATGCTGAGTGCAGTAGATCTCCACAAACTAATCAACGCTTGTCTTGGTGTCTTTCCGATCATCCCTTCCACATCCCCATTGTGCCTCTGCCGCCTGTAGTTGAAACGATGCTGCCTAGATAGGTGAAGGAGGCTACTTCTTTTAAGTTTCTCCCGTTGATGGTTCAAAATATTTTTGTCAATGTCAAAACAGTTGACTAATTAATTCAATTTCCTACAGTGACATAGTTACATCTACTTGTTTTATGAGATACAGATAGAAATTATTGTTACCGTAACTTACCTGGAAACAAGTGAATATTGTTAGGTTTAAGCATAAAAACCTATCAATTTATAAGCTGAAAACAATTTCCAGTTAGAAATCAGTTGAAATATCAAGAGTTCATTGGAACTATAGAATATCGACTAATCTAAGTACAGGGTGTCAACATTACTACTACTGTCACCATCGTTACTATGAATTATTCAAGTAGCTAGGCTACTAAGAACAATTTGGGTTTAGATTCAAGACAATAAACTCGAACTAATTTATTTCCCCAATTAACTTATGGCAATATAATCTCTATCAAATGGAAAATACTACCCTTTGATTGACTGGTTTCAACATTGCTCACATGATGTTTCCATCAAACATGAATAATGTGACGAATATATCTATGATCAAAGCCTGAAACAGCTTCATGTCTTCTTATTTTAACGGCCGTATCTCATAGCCATAAAACAGGACATAGCTATTTGCATCACAGTTGTGCCATACATATATTTAAAAATTCATGTAGTCAGCTTTCAATTTTTATTGAATATTAAACTTGAACTAGTCTCCAGTGTTTCCTATTTGTCAGTGTAAACTCATACAGAAATCAATATTCCTAGTGGAACATAGGGATTCAATATCACGCCACCATTTCGCTTTCTACTCTGCAGACCTTTGAACCGGACTTCACAACTGCTCGTAACCTTTCATTTCCTATTCACACAATCTCCTCCTCCATGTCACATTCAAACGCCCAACCCATCCGTTCCCATTTCCCTCTCACTCGACAGCCTGGCCTGGCGCGTGATGTCCCCAAACCGTCTTCCTCAGTCTATGTCCAATCCAACCCATCTCCACTTCCTTCTGCTGAATATCTCTTGAGCGATAGGCTCCTGGTTAGTTTGTTACCAGGCCATACTTCTTCCTTGCCTATTCTTTCTCCCCTTCTTATCTCATCTTCAGGATCGAGCGTAGGTGGCATCTGTTCATCTATGTCTGCAGTTCGTTGGGAATGTTTATCGTAAGGAGACAAGTCTCTTAACCACCAGATGCAAGTACTGACTTGACTAAAATTAGTGTTGAAAATCCGCATCTGCTTCTTCATGCTGACTGCAGTGCAGTGCAGTAAATCTCCATATTCATCTCCACAAATTAATCAACGCCTATCTTGCTGTCTTTCCGATTCTCGCTCTCATTTCTTCCTCGCACGATCTTCTACATGTCACCCTCACCTCGGACGCCAAACTCATCGCTTCCCATCTGGGTTCCACTCGAACAACTGGCGTGGCGTGAGATGTCCGCAGTCGGACTTCTCAGTGTATGCCCAATCCAATCCATCTCCACTTCCTTCTCCTGCTTATTTGTTGGGTGATAGGTTGTTGCTTCGTTGCTTCGTTGCCAGCCAGCCAACCAGCCAGCCAGAGTTCCTTCTTGCTTATTCTTATTATTCTGGCCATCTGATCTTCAGTATCGAGTCAGAGTAGGCACTTCTTGATCAATGTGTGTAGTTTGTTCACAATGCCTTTCGTAACCCGCCAACTTTCTCAACCATACACAAGCACTAACTTGACTGAATTGGTGTTGAAAATCTGGATGTTGTTCACGCTTTATGCTGAGTGCATTAGATCTCCACACTGGTTTCAGATTAATGAACGTCTGTCTTGCTGTCTTTCTGATTCTGGCTGGCTTTGACGTGCTCGTCTGTGTCTGTGCCGCCAGTAGTTGAGATGATGGTGCCTAGATAGGTGAAGGAGGCTACTTCTTTTAAGTTTCTCCCGTTGATGGTTATCATCGTTACTATTATTTATTCAAGTAGCTAGGCTACTAAGAACAATTTGGATTCGGGTTTCAATCAACTAGTTGCAATATAATATCTGTTAAATGGGAAATATTACAACAGAAATAAATAAAAATAGAATAATTATAACAACCAATTAAGAATTACCTCTTTTGGAAAGTATACTGATATAATATTTTCTGAAAATGAATTACTAACAACACCTGCATACTCCAAATATGTTGACAAGGCTAAACGATAGTTTTTCTCAAAGAATTCTATCTCACCACGTAATATAAGCCAATCTATTCTATCAGGTTGATTAGTTAAACTCCAATCTAGGAAATGCTTTAAATGATCACATAACACTTCACCATTGATCTAATTAATAATTAGAAAATCAGAAAAATGGTTATTGTAAAAAGTAACTGAGAATATTGAACTTATTAGTCATATATATATAATAATTATATTTATAGTTTAGAACGATCAGCAATTTACTGAAGGCTGATGAACACACGGAAATTTGCATCAGATTTACACTGATATAATAGTAAGTAAATCATCTTCCTCTAGTTATCCACCTAATCACTGGAGAAACTAATCCAACATCGATGTTGACAATGTGGTATAACAAAACAAAAAGCGGATGCCAACTACTGAGGAGTCCCATACTAGGACGAAACAGTCAACTGCCCAGTGCTCTCAGGTTCCTAATATTTCTCCAACTGAATGTCTCTAATTAGAAACATGCGAAAATGTTTCCCAATGCATTATGAATAAGAAAAATTAATTTTAAAAAATATAACATAAGTCATTAAGACTGAATATTCGAAGAGAAACATTTCAAAGAAAACTGTCAAATTCCCATGCCGCTGTGGAGCTGACTATATTGGATGTTGTAAGCTGGCCCTCCGAAAAACGTGTTGTTAAACATTATCCGGTTTGGTTTACCAAAGGCAAGCAAAAGAAAACAACTTCTTCCATATATGAACATCTAGTAAAGTTAGGTCTTTCAGCACCTGGAGATTCATCCCTTAAAGTAGTTAACATAGTTCAATTGAACTACTTTGAAGATCTACGTTTCCATCACTTATGCATAGCTGAAGCATTAACTATACATGAACAAAAACCAAAAATTTGCAGTTAAAAACGTTTTGTGAAACCACTTTCTCTACTTTAGGCCTCATTTTGGTTACTTTTGTCAATTTCATTTCACTTCACTTTGACAGACTTCTCTTTTATTATTATCATCATCATTATCACCAATTTTCACTTCACTGACATTTGACCCATGTTTCACTTATTATTATAATTATTTTCTCTTGAGTTCCTAGTGGAACATAGGACTTCACTAGTACGTCTCCACTGCACTCTCTTCTCTCCCTTCTTTTCAACCTGGCTCCACAACTGCCTGCCCATAACCTTTCATTTCTTCCTCACACCATCTCCTACACGTCACCCTCATCTGGGACGCCCAACTCGTCGTTTCCCTTTGGCGTTCCACTCTACAGCCTGGTCTCGCATGTCATGTCCCCAATCGGTCTTCCTTCTCAGTGTGTCCAACCCATATCCACTTCCATCTGCATATCTCTTAAACAAAAGCTTGTTGCTTGGTTGGTTCCTTCTAAGGCCACAGTTTCCCCTTGCTTATTCTTTCTCACCTTCTCACCTCTTATCTTCAGTAACGAGCCACCGTACAAGGCAGCTGTTCATCAATGTCTGTAGTTTACTTGAAGTGCTTTTCGTGACACGCCAACTTTCTCAACCATATAGCAGCAATCACTTGACTGCATTCGTGTTGAAAATCTGGACCTCGTTCACGCTTTGTGCTCAGTGCAGTAGATATACACACTGATTTCAGATTAGTGAAAGCCTACCTTGCTGTCTTTCTGATCATGGCTTTTCATATCCTCGTCTGTGCCAACGCCACCTCTACTTCAAATGATGCTGCCTCCTGTGTAGGGAGGTGAAAGAGACTACTTCCTTTAGGCTTCTCCCGTTAATCCTGATTGGTGCCTCTTGTTTTTCATGCTCTTGTTCGTTGTGTGGTATCTTCATCAACTCCATCTTATCCACATTCACTTGAAGTCCCATCTTCATTGGCTACCCTGTCTCGCCTCTTCTGTCAACTTCTTTCTTTTCGCCTGTACATCTTCGAGCTTCTGTGAAATTAGACACAACTCATCGGTGAAATCCAAATCTTCTAGGCTCTTTCATCAATACAGAGTATTCCTCTCTTCTTGCTCATCACAGTTTGCTGCATGATCCAGTCCACCACAATCACCAAGATCATCGGTGATACTAGACAGCCTTCTTTCACTCCAGTCCACTTCAATGGCATCACTTCACATGTGCTGCTTTCATATAGCTGTTGAATGAGATTCATAAACGTTTGTGGTGGTAAATCCCTAGTGTTGGAGCAACTGCCTGTCAAATTACTTCTCGGTCGACGACTCGATCAAACGCCTTTTCAAAGTCGATGAAGTTGAGGTACACGTAGAGTTGACTGCCATTCTATACTCTATTCTATAATGATGCGTAGAGTAGTGCTGCAATTTGATAGGCACATAATCTGTTCTTCCTCAAGCCAGTCAGCCAGCCAGCCTGTTACGCTCGTGATTTTGAATGCAAAGCATCTTTTAGTCTCCCCAGGATGATTTGGCATAGTATTTTGCTCAGGGTGGAGAGCAGCGTGCTTCCTTACCACTTCCTGCGAAGGCTTATGTCTCCCTTGTTTGGGAGTTTGACAAGGTAGCCCTTCTTCTAATCTGCTGGTACCTTCCCCTCCTGCTTCCTTACAAACCTTCTCTTTTCTGCTATACGGCTGCGATATATGTTCAATCAAAATAAACAACATAAAAGTTTGGAGGTTTCTTGGACGTGTTTCGTGCATGCCGAGCCACTGTCTATTGATATCGGAGGTTCAAAGAAAGTTCAGGAAAGTCAGACCCCAACGCGGCATTATTTCATGAAGTCTCTGTCTGTCTGGGGGCCTCGAGACAATAGGAATCGCAGATTGTAAACCACTGATGACATGGCTGAAAACCAGTTCTAATGGAGATGTATTCACCTTCGGATATCTCCTTTTACACATGTTCATGACATTTTTTCTATCCACCTGTTACTTGTATGCTAGTGTGTAGTGATAAATTTGAATTATTGCAGTTCTGTGCGAGGTTTTGCTTTGATTTTTCTGACTGTCTCACGCTGCGTTTATGTTTTTCCATCCCATCCAGTCAAATCATCATACCACCAGGCATTACTGCCTCACGCTACAACTTCCCACACCTCATATCAATACATCAAGTAAAAAGGCAGTGAAGTGGAAGATGAAAAAAACGAAATTCAGTCAAAACAAATGTAAAATACTAAAACAGAGAAAGGAAACATGAGAAAATGGTGAGATTAGGTAAAGCGTTAAGATGAGGATAATGTGTGTGAGGATACATCTGTGCTACTGACATCGGTTATCACTCATGTGATCACCTGGAGTCAGTCTCCAACCACTGGTTCCTCGTGTCCCGCCAACCCTAACCACCTAGTTTCCGTCACCCCACCACATGGCTCAAACCAACAGTCAACGACTTCATATATTGATGTCATGTTTTAGTCTGACCGCCGACGGCATTTATCCAGCCTGAACTTACTTCGGCCAACATTGTGTGACGAGGCTATCGGCGACTACGCATACGTATTACGTGTTCCAACCAGTTATCTCAGTCGATGAAGGCTAACAACCTCGTCAACTGATTCACCTCTTCTCCCTTACAAAAACTCTACACATGACTTATACGTTACTCAAGTGGTGGCACCACGGAATACAACCTATATTACGAAGCTTTCTTATGTCTTCCACCTTCAATAGCCATCTTTCACAGCTACACAGTAGAACACACCGGAGTACTGTGCAGTACACTAGACCCTTAGTAGACAATGAGATATTATGGCAGAGAACCAGGTGGAGTAATTTGGCAAAAGTTAGCTGAGCCCCTTGTATCCATGCCCAGATTTCGTCGGACGATGACTCACCAGGACCAACACGACTTCCCAAGTAACCGAAGTGATCAAAACACACCCCCACAACTTCACTCTATATTGTCAGTCGGCATATCGTAAAACACCAATCATGGAGCAACAACTGGCATTCGGGTGGTCACAAACACATCCCAAACATTCTCGAATTAACACTCAGACTCTCCAGATGACTTTGCATCTTGTCAGCCTACTCACCTAATACAACTATGTCATCTGCGGATTCTACGTCTAACGAAAATTCTACACCGATTACGTCAACCTCTGTGTAGTCAGTTAGTTAGGTAACCACAGGGAGACTTCCATAAGAACATCTATCATAAAATTGAATAAGAATGGAGAAAGCGAAACACCTTAACAGACACCACTCGACGTACACAACTCACTCGATATCTCACAACAGGCCCTAACACACCAACAGGTGTTCGAGTAGAGAGTCTTCAAAAGGGTGATGTACTTACTCGGCACGCCTGTAAGTGAGAGACATTGTCACAAGACTTCTCGATCAACGGAGTCAAATGCCGCTTCAGTCGTCTCCCCTGAAAGTTAATCGCAGACCCAAAAGGTTTATAGACCGATATCCCAGTTGCTTCTCAGATCATCTCTTGGACACGTGGCATTTTGCTGTAGATCTGGAGAAAATTCCGATTACTGCCAGATATACTCGCGTGTTCTCACTGCTAGGTATTATATCAAAGTGAAAGAAGAAGACAGAATGTTACACTTACGGGAGAATTTGATTCTAAGTCTACAGTCCATAATTCTTCATCCAAAAATGATAATACCACTGGTTTTTGGCTGGTCAAAATCTTGTCGGATTGATTACGTTTACGATCCTTCTTCTTATCTGCGGATTGATCTTTAGGTCTATCCCATCTAGAAGTACGAACATTTGCATTAGACTTTGAATCAACAGTCAGGTTACTGTTACTACTAGTTATTATTGTGGTTGGATTCTCTCCCGTGATTACACAATCAGTGATTTTGTGTTCCTCCGTATGATTTGTAGAAAAACAAGCAACTATTTTTCTCAAAATATGTAAACTAAACTTTGTACATAACTGATGAGTTATCTGAGCGAAACCAATAATAAGATAATCGAGTAAATGTGATCCAATAGATGAATAGTCTATAACGTCTGAAGTTTTACATTTAGCATCAAAATGGAACTTGAATCCAGAATTCGTAATTAACCGTGCAACTTCATCCATGATTCCCAACAAACCAACTATATTGTATAAACTGGGTGAACTAATTCCTGAACGAGATGCACCTACAATTTCAGGAAATAAATATAAGTTTAAAAATTGATATTGTACAGCATGAGAACTCAGAAATATATCAATTATAGTAGAGATTGTGTATAATTCTTATTAATTGTCTCTTAGGTTCCTAGTGGAACATAAGGCTTCACTAGCACAGCGCCATTTCACTCTCTTCTCTCCAGTCTCCTCAACATACCTCAACAACTACCCATAAACTTTCATTTCTACATCACATCATCTCATCCATGTCACAATCCCATGTCAAACTCATCATTTCCCATTTCCCCACCAATTCACAGCCTGGCCTAACCTGTCATCTCCACAAATCATCTTCTCACTCTATGTCTAATACAACCCAATACAATCCATATCCACTCTCTTCTTCAGTACATTTGTTGGACCATATATTCTTCCTTCGTTACCAGGACACACTTTCTCTTTCTTTTTTCTCGCCTTCTGATCTCATCTTCAGTATCGCATCAGTATCGCATCTTGTTGTTTATGCTGAGTAAAGTGCAGTAGATCTCCACACTGATTTCCAGTTAATGAAGGCCTGTGTTTACGGTCCTGGCTTTCACATCCTCATCTGTGCCTGTGCCACCGCCGCCTGTAGATGAGACGATGCTGCATAGATAGGTAAGGCAGCTGAAAAAACAACTTCCTTCACGTTTCTCCTCTTCATGGTGATTAGTGCTTCCCGTTGTTGTCGGTTAAGTATCTTCATCACCTCTATCTTCTACACTTTCACCTGAAGGAAGTCTCGTCTTCTTTCGCTGTCCTGTCCTGTCCTGTCCTGCCCTCCCTGCCTCTTCTCTCCTCTTCTCTTCTCCCAACTTGTTACTTTTCCCCTGTACATCTTACACTTTCTCAGACATTAGATACTAGACATAAGTCAGCATCGGTGAAATTCAAATCTTCTAGGTTCTTTTCATTGGCTAAACAGCGTATGACCGTCTTTTCGCTCCTCACAGTTTCTTGCATCATCCAGTCCAGTCGACCACAATCAGGAAGATCATTGTATTGCATGCTATACTTTAATGTTGTTCAAAATCCATTACCAAATGACTGTAGTTTGACTACGAAGCAAAACCAGTACAAAATGGTCAAGTTACATTCCACTTTGAGATTTTTCAATTAATTTTTGTTGACGACATCTAACGAGTTATAGTCATTTGAAGTAAGCTCTCATATACTGATTATGATTTGGACAGTGCTACATGCTATGGCCGCTAACGACGCACGGATATCGAGTGTCAGCCACCAACATTCAAGAAATTCCCAGTTGATTCCTAACCTGACTAATTAATAGAGAAGACACGATGGACATGTAGAAACGTGTATCAGGGTCGAAAGACCAAAGAGCTAAACAAGGGAAATACAGCTAATATATAGATAGTTTGCTGTTGAAATTAATAATACTGATTGGCTGATCCAGCCTCTGTCTGTCTAACTGCAGACGTGATAATATAAGGTACATTTAGATTGGTCGCTCTCGAAACTAGGTCTTTCTCTTTATCCTCATATCACCTACCTCTTCGAATGTTACTTGGGGTCAAACGGGGTCTCACTGTCTTTTTCTTGCATCTATCTGACCGACACACAGGGAGTTTTTCCTTGTTTACTCGGCGATAAGTAGTCTTCTCTATATTCTTTCGGTGGGCAGGTGCAAGAGCCGTTCGAGAATGAGATCTGCAGCAATATCTGGAGGATGTACACGTCGTTTTGTGCTTTGGCGGCAAAAACCATCCTTATGGTCCCCAAGACTACAGTCCTGGCATCGATGTTGTTTTGGTGAACAAGATTTGACGGAGTGGCAGCCACCACAATGCCAGCAAGGTGATGAGGGTGTCTTCTTCAAGGGTCGGTTGGTATCACATGAGTTACTGGATCGATGAAGCCGCAAGATAAGACCAAAAGGTGTGTGGCCAGAGGGTGATGCTGAGGAATGACATCTCTGGCAGACTGCACTTCAGAACCAGCCTGGAGTCCGGATTGGGCGAAACTCATATCACGCTGCAGGTTGTCCAGTCGTTGATATTCAGTGCATTAAGAATCAACGGTGATTCCACAGGATGCATTTCTTCAATTTTATAGCAATCTTTTTGTGAATAAATCGCTCATTCTTCATCTGGTTCTCCTTTCTGTGGAACCCTAGTGGAACATATGACTTCAGTAGCACGTTTCCGTTGCACTCTCTTCTCTGCAGCCTTTTCAACATCTCATCTTAATGCACGTGGATAACAACTATGGACATGAATTCAATTTTGACAATGTAAAAATCTTCGATGGAGAGAGGATACACAAAGAATATTACAGAATTCCTAGAAGCTTGGCATTCACATCAGTCAGTCAGCAGTCAATAGATGGATGTGTAGACATACACCCAATCTATCAACCAATGAGGAGAAACGTCAATCAGAGAAGGAGCCAACAGGAAAATCTATACAGTCAGTCAATGACACAACCAGCTATTGAATCAGTCGAGGAGAGATATTGACAGCTCACTTCATAGTGAAGTTAATGTTGTTGATGTCACTGTCTAGAAAGACGATGAAAACTTCTCCACGATATAACAACCCAGTTCAGAGAGCATAAGTTTGTCTAAACAACATAATTTGCTGTCTTCCATTTATATACTGTACATATCAAGATCATCATTGAAAGTTAATACTAACCTGTATGATATTTTCGTGTATTTCGATGTTCAGATACAGACACAGTAGAATTATTATTCATACTATCCATTGAACTATAAGCTGGAATAAGCCATCCACGAATAATTATTCCATAAAAGTCACTTATAACAGTTTTCAGTTTATCTAAATCACCAAATTTGATAGTAGCAGCCAAAAAAATTTTTATATGAGATAAGTTTTGTTTATCAGAATTCATTTGAATATTTGTAATAGAAGGTGAATGAATACAATCTGACTGTAAGCTAAAACTTTCGATAGATGATTGTAATACCTCATAAAAATGTAATAAAATCCGAATTAAATCTAAAGAACCAGCACATCCAACACGAAAAGAAATTCTTCCCGGAGGTAATGAAACTGATTTTGTTGGAAATGATATAGGGTACAAGAAATTAGATTCCTGAAATGAATAAATAAAAGTATACATGTATACATTCATATATATATTTCTAACAAGTGTTACCAGTTTTATGTAACGGCTTATCTCATCAAGCTTTAAATGAAAGTAGTAAATGAACAACAATTTTAAAATAACATGCTATACAGAATAATGATATAACATTTTATTCTGTTCATACTTGTTTTATTATGCGAAACCGTTCAGGTAACAAAATTCATACGGTTGATTAAATCTAACTGGGTTCAACGCCTTTGACACATAAATCGGTATCGATAGAAAAGAATAAATCATCTAAAAAATACAGTTGATGGAACAACTTACACACTGATGACAACTTTGGATCGTTCCTATTGTAGGCGAATCAACTTTTAACTAAATGAAACTGACTCCAGTTACATTTTAGTTCTGGCTTTATTATTATTATTATTTGTCCCTTAGGTTCCTAGTAGAAAATAAGGCTTCATTAGCACAGCGCCATTTCATTCTCTTCTCTCCAGTCTTCTAAAACCTTCCTCCACAACTACCCATAACCTTTCATTTCTACCTGACACCACCTCATCCATGTCACACTCCGACGCCCAACTCATCCTTTCCCACACCGGTCCCACTTGACGGCCTAACACGTGATGTCCCCAAACCGTCTTCTCACTCTATGCACAATCCAATCCAATCCAATTCATCTCCACTTTCTTCTTCTGCACATATGTTGGGTAATAGATTCTTACTTCGTTGATTGGTTCGTTACAAGACCACAACTCCTCCTCGCTCATTCTTTCTCGCCTTCTCATCTCATCTCATCTTCAGCATCCAGTGAGCGTAGGCGGCAGCTATTCATGTATGTCTGCAGTTTGCTCGAAATGCTTTTCGTGATGCACCGAGGTCCTGAACAATATAGAAGCACTGACGACGTTGGTGTTGAAAATCCGGATCTTGTTCACGCTTTATGCTGAGTGCAGTAGGTCTCCACAAACTAATCAACGCCTGTTTTGCTGTTTTTCCGATCCTCTCTTCCACATCCTCATCTGCCTAGATAGGTAGGCAGCTGAAAAAAACAACTTCCTTCACGTTTCTCCTCTTCATGGAGATTAGTGCTTCCCGTTGTTGTCGGTTAAGTATCTTTATCACCTGTACCTTCTGCACTTTCACCTGAAGGAAGTCTCGTCTTCTTTCGCTGTCCTGTCCTGTCCTGTCCTGCCCTGTCCTGCCTCTTCTCTTCTCCCAACTTGTTACTTTTTCCCTGTACATCTTACACTTTCTCAGACATTAGATACTAGACATAAATCAGCATCGGTGAAATTCAAATCTTCTAGGTTCTTTTCATCGGCTAAACAGCGTATGACCGTCTTCTCGTTCCTCACAGTTTCTTGCATCATCCAGTCCAGTCGACCACAATCAGGAAGATCATCGGTGTTAGTAGGTGGCAACTTTGTCTTACCAGTCAACCTGTCTTCACTTCGAAGGCATCACTCAGCTTCCCATTGTCAATCAATTCGCATAAACCATCATATAGCATAGGATATAGCTACTGTTGAATGAGGTTAATAAAGGTTTGTGACACTGAAACCGTAGTGTTGAAGCAGCTGCCTGTCAAATTACTTCTCGATCGACGCTGTCAAATGCCTTTTCAAAATCGATGAAGTTGAGGTGGAGAGTTGACTGCCATTCTATGCTCTGTTTTGTGATGTTTAGTTCCGAATATCATATCGTACAATAAAATAAACAGGAATAATGTAAATTAGTAACTGTGTCAGCTCGCGTACCGACTGCGAGCTACACATATTAACTGATAGTCAACAAAACTACCTTGCGGTTCAAACTTTGGTATCTGAAGCAATTTTAGAACTCCAAACTGTAAACCAAAGAATTTGTATGGTGATTTAAGCTTTAGTTTCGCACCACTCGAATGTAAAATGATGCTTCAGAATTGGTTTACAACCACTCCCAGTTTAATGATAGGGAGTGAAGTGGTGGAATGAGTCAACCATTTCATATAGGGAGTTGTATCAGCCCGAAAGGGATGGTGGCTGATGAAATCTCAGATAAGATATAGAAGGCCTGTTTGGCATATGCCAACTTGTATCGTCTGTGGCGCTCATCGGCTAAACTAACATGTATATATATATATATATATATATATATATATATATATATATATATATATATATATAACTGACTTACTTTAGCCATCAGTAGAAAACAAGTAGCAGCAGTAACTAGTTCATCAGACAGACCAATAGGGTTCAATGACTCCATTTTAGTCTCCAAGGCATTAGCATTCGATGACAGACCAGTTGCATAGAAAAGACAAATTTTAGCTCGTCTGATTAAATCATTCAAAGATACTTGTCCAGGATGACTTAATTTCGACGACTGACTGTTTCCTCCAAGGTCAATCAACGAAGATGGATTCAAGAATTCCTAAAACATGAAATAATGTTTAAAATATTTTTTTAAATCAGAAGCTAATTAAAGTTAGGCAAGAATATTTTTATAGCAATGATGGAAAGTGGCTAGACGTAGAACTCACGATGCACACTTCGACCTACTTGGTACTCGTCACCTGGTTGTACCAGCTTCCCGACAAGTGATGTTGCCCCCATCGGGACTCAGACTCAGGACCGATAGCTTCAAACACCAGAGCGTGATCCACTACACCACCGATACAATAGCTACTTCTTGTGCAACGGGTATAGTTTTAGTATGATTGCATATATTGTCCATCATTACTGTAATATCAAGGCATCTGCACAGGAGCCCATATGCCAATAGAGACCGATCAATTCGGTCGAATCAACGACAGCATAACATAAGCAATTATACTAAGGATATCTTTAGTATAATTGTTTTTTATATGACATCGTCGTTGACTGGACCGAATTGATCGGTCTCTATTGGCATATGGATCCCTGTACGGATGCCTCGATATTGCCAGTGTTCTAATTATGTTAATGATGAGTCGTGGCTAGCAGTGGAAGATTCTAAATGATACGGTTCAAAATCCATGTGAGTAGTGAAGATACATCCATACACGATCTTCATCTTAATCGTCATGCTGAATTTGACCATTACTTCAGTTATTTTTGTGCTCTTCTCGCGAATTTATGCCACTTTTGATTACTTTTTTCCTCATTTCTTCACCTTGGTGTATTCTACCATCAAGATCAACATAGGACCAGACATTACCGCGTAAAGATCAAGATGAAGTGAGCATATATCTGCGCCACTGATATCGGTTCTGAGCCATATCGCCTAAAGTCTCTCTTGTTCCGTGGACCCCGACCGGCTAGTCTTCATCACCCCATATGGCTAAAACCAACAGTCAACGACTTCATTTCTTAGTATGGTCGTCCTAAGCCCTTTTCCAGCCTGAAACTACTTCGACTAACATTGTGTGACGAGTCAGACGGTGTATATGTAACACATAACTCATCCATCTCAGTCGATGAAAGTTCACAACTGCATCTCCTGCCTAGAAATTTAACACTTGACTTCTGCGTTCCTCAAGTGGTGACACCACGGAATACAACCTATATTACGAAGGCAAGGGTGGTCAAACACCTGAAGCCAGCCTTCTCAAGTCTTCCACCTTCAATAGCCATCTTTCACAGCTACACAGTAGAACACACCGGAGTACTGTGCAGTACACTAGACCCTTAGTAGACAATGAGATATTATGGCAGAGAACCAGGTGGAGTAATTTGGCAAAAGTTAGCTGAGCCCCTTGTATCCATGCCCAGATTTCGTCGGACGATGACTCACCAGGACCAACACGACTTCCCAAGTAACCGAAGTGATCAAAACACACCCCCACAACTTCACTCTATATTGTCAGTCGGCATATCGTAAAACACCAATCATGGAGCAACAACTGGCATTCGGGTGGTCACAAACACATCCCAAACATTCTCGAATTAACACTCAGACTCTCCAGATGACTTTGCATCTTGTCAGCCTACTCACCTAATACAACTATGTCATCTGCGGATTCTACGTCTAACGAAAATTCTACACCGATTACGTCAACCTCTGTGTAGTCAGTTAGTTAGGTAACCACAGGGAGACTTCCATAAGAACATCTATCATAAAATTGAATAAGAATGGAGAAAGCGAAACACCTTAACAGACACCACTCGACGTACACAACTTACCCGATGTCTCACAATAGGCTCTAACACACCAACAGGTGTTCGAGTAGAGAGTCTTCAAAAGGGTGACGTACTTACTCGGCACGCCTGTAAGTGAGAGACATTGTCACAAGACTTCTCGATCAACGGAGTCAAATGTCGCCTTCACGTCGAGAAATACAGCTATTCTCGGCGTCGGTATATATTAATATGGTGATATGAGGCGTAGTAGCTTGGGCTGTTACACACTAGAACCAGATTCGATGTTGATACTACAAACGATACTTACAAATGATGATTTAATCCAGACTTTATGGATATTTGGTACATCTAGAAAAGTAGCATCCAAAGAGAAATTAGTTGGAAATGCAGTGAGGAACAGCTTCAAATTTCCAGCGAAACTCTATTACGAAATAATATCTGCAACTGAGTTATACTATTTCAAAAATCCTTGAAATTTACAGACACCTTATAAGTTGAATTCAAAAGTAAAGAACCACAATGAATAAAGTAAGGTCCTACGTATGATCCGCTATGCATCGAACGTATTTCTACTCACAGTTGGATTCACGACTATATTTATCATCAAAGGTGTTCAGGAATTCCCTTCTACATTATTTTGTTAATTAATCTACGCCACGGATCTAGTTAACTTATAACCTGTGTATGACACATCCCTGTTAGAAAACAGCTTTCAGAAAATCCATAGTTCTGAACACAACAGCAATTATCAGAAAGGGTTCACAGTTTACCTTAAATTTATTAAATGGAAATTATGATACAAAACTGTTCTGCACCAAAACATAATTTAGCGAGAGAGAGTGAAATGGGCATCAATACTGACTGCCTTAGAAACCTGAAGAGTCAAATAAGTTTTGTTGAGTCGTCAACTGAAAAAGACGCCAGTTCAGCTTTTGCTGACTTACAACACCTGCCGCTCCTCAGATAAGCACTAAAAGTCAACTATAATGCTCAGAAATGTACTTCAAACTAATTCCCTTTTACGAGATGCATGTTCAGTGTGGAAAAAATGAATAAAATACATAAGTTTGATCACCAGTACCTTAGGAGTATTCCTCACTAGGTAAGCAATGCTTCTTCTGGGTACAGTGTTAAACAAAGGTGGTCAGTCAATTAATTTGTATTCAAAACCTGAGTAGCTGATCTACTATTTTTTTAACTTAAAATCTTACATATATATTCGTTATCATGAACTTGGTGATTACATTACAAACAATAAACGCTCCAATGAGGCCCCTAATGTGACACATGCTATCCGTCTTAAACAAAGACGACTCAAAATAGTAAATAGGGTTTTTAGGAAAAGGAATAGTTACTGATAACACCATGCTATACAAACTGTCTAAAGTAAAGAAAAAAAGACAGTCACAACACTGCACAAATAGTATATGAGATGCTTAGAACTTACTAACAAGTCAGCCAACAGTAATTCATGTCTAATAGCAGCTCGAATCCAATGAAAGACATCAACAGCACGGGACTTCTTGCCTACTATATGACCAGATGATGCAACATTACCAGGTGATGCTGACGGTAACGAAGATGGAGATGGTACCATTGGATTAAGTGAAGCAAGATTGTTTAAAGACGCTAATAACATAGCTCTAGCTGTAGTCAGCTGTGATGTTTCATGACGAATGATAGATGAACCTTTAGCCAACTGTAACAGTACTGTAATCGCCCACATAATATTTCCGGATGATGATAAAAAGAATTCAATTGGGTTTTTTGCCTTAAAGAAATAATAATAATAATTTACTTTCTAAGAGATCTGAAGCGATTCACAATCTTGAATAACCACTAATAATTGCAATAATGTTATATATGATATTAATTTCATCGGCAAAATACTCAATATCCAATTACGACTACCACAAGATCACCCAGAGTTATAAGCACTGTATTTCTGGGAGTGAAAATATCGTTAAAGAAATCACTCAATCTGAAAACTTTTTTTATTCCAAACATACACCTGATAAAAGCCTGATCACTGTACACAATCAATTACTGTTACCAGGGGCTTATAAAAAGTATACGTGAGTGAGTATTTATACTAGTTTTTAACTTACTGATAAACTAGGAAGAATTATGAAAGTTCAAGAAACCAAATAGGATTATTCACCATCATAATAGGAGTATAACTCATAACTTATTAAAACGACCCGGTACTTGATTTGTTCTATAAGGTGGTTATAAAACATGGGTTATTTGGAAAACCCTGAACAAATTGAGATGCAAATAAACTAATTAACTTATACTGGTTATGATAGAAGGTGAAATAGAAATTTGGACCGCAGTCGGACTCGAACCAAAGACAAGTGGGTTTCCTGCTCGATGCTCTACCAGTACTTGGACCGGTCAGTTCACTAACTTTTATAGTTGGGTACCCTCTTGGTTGTAAAAGAAATCTCATTCACTCACTCACTGTGTTCCAGAATCTATGGAATATGTTCAGAAAATATGGTGGATGCTGAAATCGAAACTCTTAGAATAATACTATCTAATAACGGATACCCTAAGAGATTTATTGATAAGAATCTGAAGGAACGAACCACTCCCCATCCCATTACAGTCCCTAAGGAAATCTTAACCATGACTCTAGAATTCAAAGGAGACATCACAGCTGAAGTGCTAAAAATTGTCTGTCAAAATGTATCAATAATAGCTTCTATGCTGCTAGACTGGGAATGATATTCTCGTCACCGTCCGATTCGACAATGTGTGAAGGATAGGCTTCCACTTACGTCCACATCTATGTGTATCTACATGTTCATATGCCCCTGTGAAGCTGAATGTACTGGACTTTGTAAGTGGGCCCTCCGAAAGCGTGTTTCTGAAAACTACCGCGTTTGGCTTACCAAAGGCGAGCAAAGCAAAACGACTTCATCCACATGTGATTACCCTGTTGAATTAGGTCATTCAGCACCTCAAGACTCATCCATTAAAATAATTTACAAAGTTAAATTCAACTACTCTAAAGGTTTGACGGAGGGTGCGGACATTGAAGGCTCCAATATGTAATTTGGAGTGTGGTTTAAGGAGACCAGTGATGCTGTTCTGTGGACTCAGATCGTTGTCGAACGCTGCAGAACTAGGAGAAATTGAAGATGATGCAGCATCATTAATTAAGAGACGTGAAGGAAGATTATAAGGTAATGATGGAGGAGGTGGATAGCAGTCAGAAGAAACTTGAGTGCTGATGAGTTGTGAGGGCGGTTGACACTTCCCGGCTGCCCACACCGTGGAAGGCTATTTCTTCTGAAGGTACCTAAAAGAGATTTGTGTGACCACAGAGCCCATCGGACATCTGCTTGAGGTCTGTCACACCCAGCCTTTTGAGTATGATTATTTTGAACTTTTGTATATTTGGGGCCGGATGGTCGAAAGGAAAAGACAAGTGAACCAACACCGCCGGCCCGGCAGACCGTGGGGCGTGGTGGAGTGTGTTATTTTTGGGGCCGACCTTTTCTAACCCCCCCCCCTTCCACTGAGAAGGCAACATCAGCATGGCACTGCTGGTCATCCAAGGGAAACACCTTACTGCTGTCACACCCCATCCAGCTAGCAGCAGTACGACTTCGCCCTCAGACCCCCATCATAGTGCAGCAATTTACACTATAACGGTAACTGCTTTTCATCTAACCACTATCCAACAGACCTTTCTGGTATGGTAGGACCTCGAGGGAACAAGCGTTCCACCAGCATAGCTCGCTGGGTCATTGTGATATGCAAGCCCGACCACCACGTCAAAGTAGCAGCTATCGGTCGGCTGATATGAGGTGTGGCAACTCGGACCGTTACGCAGTAATGCCTGGTCCTATGTTGATAATGATGATGATGATGACTCTAAAGGTTTACGTTTCCACCACTTATGCATAGCTGAAGCATTAGCTATACATTAACAAAAACCGAAACTTTGCATTCAAAAACATTTTGTGAAACCACTTTCTCTACCTTGGCCCTTAACAATTCATTTTGTTGATTTTGTCAACTTTCAGTTCACTTTGGTATACTTCTCTTTTATTCTCACCATCATCATTATCACCAATTTTCACTTTATTGACAACACTTGACCCATATTTCACTTTTTAATGTCAATTCATTCCTTATTCATTGACCTATTTTACACGTTTCAGCTTATTTATCACCATTTTACAATAATTTGACAACACTTGTCTCTTATCTCACCGCTTGTTATCAATTCATTCCTTTTTCAATGACCGATTTTTTATCTCTTCCACTTGAACAAATACCACCACCCCTCCACCGATTGTATATTTTGCATATTGACTGACCAACTATCTATCACTTTACCGAGTATAAATATGACTGTACAGCTTGATATAATGAAGTTGTTGAAAAGATATATTTCTTCACTGATACATGCCTTGTTCTTATTTCGCCAGTCAAATACTGGTCTCCCAAACTACGGCTATCTCAGATAGTCAAATGATTATAAACTAATTAATGTGTAACATGACCCTGTATTGTGAATGTGCTTGGCTATAAAGTCAAGCTTATTGAGGGAAATTATGATTGCTTTGTCACCTAGATAGAGTGAGATTTGAAAACGGACTCATTTTTTTTAAAAGTTGAGTCTTTAGGTCAATGCAATATAGAAAAAACTTTTTTACATTTTATTCTTCAATAAAATTTTAAACGTAATATTCATTTGAATGATTAAAGAGAGTAACATGTTTCATTTAGAACCATTTTAGCATCAAAATTTGACCTGATAGAGTTAAATAAGTTGAGCATTGGGTAATTAGATTATAAATGAAATATTGAAAAATGTTTAAAGTTCATAAGTAAATTACTAGAATGTGATCACATGTTGGCAGATAGATCTCCATTGAACCCCAGCTTCATTATGAAAGCACTCTTCACGTTTAGAGGAAAACTATACAAGCAAACTAATAGAATAGCTATGGGTTCTCCAGTGTCCTCTATCTTTGCAGACCTTTTCATATCCCACATTGAATCAATGATCTTTTCTAATACTATCAAACCACGTATTTGGCTCAGATATGCAGATGATTAATTAACACTTATACTCCATATATTAAGTTCACATGTGAACATGAAAATGCAAGCGCTCAACTACTATTCCTAGACTGTTTAGTTAAAAGGAATGGTAATGGAAGTCTAAGTTTATCGACTTATCATAAATCAATACATTCAAATCGATATCTTGATTTTAACTCAGCACATCCACTCAGTGCTAAACTTTCACTTGCTCGGAGCTTATTCAGGAGAGCCACAAAGCTCATTATGAATGAAGATGATAGGCTAATGGAAGTAGGTAATACATTAAATGTATTATATTTCAATAATTACCCTAATAATGTCATTCAAAAGATCCAGAAACATGAGGAGAGGGAACCAAGAAGAAATTCAAATGATGATTACTGGATTGGCACAGTAGTCCTACCATTCCGCCAAGGTACAACCAAAGAGCTACAAAAAATCTTAAGAAAGTACCGAATCAACACTCTCAGGAATGGTCTAGTCCACTTAAAAGATGAAGTTCATTTTACCTCTACATAAAATTGTCTGCAAATTATGCTGTCGACTGTGATACCTATTATATTGGAGAATCATCCCGTGAGATCCTCATTACGCCTAAAGAATATGCAAGTTATACAAAACGACCGCCAAATAATCTTTTAGAACTAGAGAATTTACAAATCAAGTCAGTGAAAGCAGTCCATGTCACCTATCACAATCGCAAAATCGATACTGGAAATTATTAAAAATTATTCAAAAAGGATTTTCAAACTACAAACAAAAAAGAATAACAGTAGCATTTCCCATTATGTTGAATCCTAATACGCTCAACAGAAAGGAAGGCCTGACTATCCAACCAACCTGGACATTATTATATTATTTATTATTTATCCCTTGGGTTCCTAGTGGAACATAGGGATTCAGTAACACGTCTCGATTCCACTCTCTTCTCTTCAATCTTTTGGACCTGGTTCCACGACTGCTCACAAGCTCTCATTTCTTCCTTGTACGATCTCCTCCATGTCACACTTACCTTGGACGCCCAACTCGTCGCTTCCCATCTGGGTCCCACTCGAGCAACTAGTGTGGTGCGAGATGTCCGCAGTCGGACTTCTCAGTGTATGCCCAATCCAATCCATCTCCACTTCCTTCTCCTGCTTATTTGTTGGGTGATAGGTTGTTGCTTCGTTGCTTCGTTGCCAGCCAACCAGCCAGCCAGCCAGAGTTCCTTCTTGCTTATTCTTATGATTCTGGCCATCTGATCTTCAGTATCGAGTCAGAGTAGGCACTTCTTGATCAATGTGTGTGGTTTGTTCAAAATACCTTTCGTAAACCGCCAAGTCTCTCAATCATACACAAGCACTAACTTGACTGAATTGGTGCTGAAAATCCGGATCTCGTTCACGCTTTGTGCTAAGTGCAGTAGATCTCCACACTGGTTTCAGATTAATGAACGCCTGTCTTGCTGTCTTTCTGATCCTGGCTTTGACGTCCTCGTCTGTGCCTGTGCCGCCTGTAGTTGAAACGATGCTGTCTAGATAGGTGAAGGAGGCTACTTCCTTTAAGTCTCTCCCATTGATGGTGATTGGAGCTTGTTGGTGGTGGTGGTGGTGGTGGTGTTGGTTTGGTATCTTCATCACCTCTGTCTTCTCTACATCCACTTGAAGTCCCATCTTCCTTGGCTGCCCTGCCTCGCCTCTTCTGTCATTTTGTTAGTTTTCGCCTGTACATCTTCGAGTTTGTGTGACATTAGACACAAGTCATCGGCGAAATCCAAATATTCTAGGTTCTTTTCCCCGGTCCAGCGTATGCCTCTCTTCTCGCTCTTCACTGTTTGTTGCATGATCCAGTCCACTACAATCAGAAAGATCATGGATGATAGCAGATAGCCTTGTTTTACTCCTGTCTTCAATTCAGAAGCATCACTGAGCTTCCCATTGTGAATTACTTGGCGTGTGGCATCTTCATATAGTTATTGAGTGAGGCTGATAAAGGTTTGTAGTATTCTGTAGTGTTGATGCAACTGCCAAATTACTTCTCGGTCGACACTGTCGAAGGCGTTTTCAAAGCCGATGAAGTTGAGGTAGAGGGGTTGACTGCCATTCTATACTCTGTTCCATGATGATACGAAGCGTTGCAATTCGGACAGTTATACTATAACTGCTTGTATTATACCGTCGTTGATTGGACCGAATTGATCGATCTTCATTGGCATATGGGCTCCTGTGCGGATGCCTCGATATTACTTGTGTAGTAGTAATGATGGATGGAAGCGATCGCTCCCGAGTCCGAATCCCAGCGGGAACAATATCACTCACTGGGAGGTAGATACATCCAGCTGACTGGCGAGTCCCTAATAGGACGAAATGAGCATCCTGGATTCCACTGCTAGCTACTATCCATCATTACTACAACCTGGATAGTATTTCCAAAAACAAAACACTACACACAATGATCTGATCAAAAATACATACACATAAACAAACCAAATTTGTCATCCATATTATTCATTTTTTCTTTCACAACCAGTCACGTGTACAAATTCACTCCAGACTGATAATTAGATAAATAAAGACAAATTGTGAGTGCTTCCTGACCAGTATAACAATGATATTTATGTTTTCATATTATTATCATGTATAGACGACAATATGATCTGATTCTTCACCATTTACTATTGAAACAGTCGATAACTTGTACAGGTTTTATTCTCTGAAAGAAGCGATTTCCACGAAGTCGCGAAATGTCAGAAATTTGTCTACTTTATTGGAATTTTACATGTGACCTGTGGGGTCAACCAGTTGGAAGTGAAGTGGATGCTAACTGAAGACCTTGGGTGACAGTCGCGCTATATCGTGAACTGACAGAAGTTGGAAATTGTGAACCACTGGAAACCGGCCCGCTGGCTGAATGGTTAACGCGTTCGTCGTGAAACCTGAAGGTCCCGAGTTCGACCCCTCGCCGGGCCGTGGGTGCGTACTGCTGAGGAGTCCCATACTAGTTGGACGAAACAGCTGTCCAGTGCTCCCAGATTTTCGATGGTTCCCCAACTGACAATTGACAAATAACTAAACACACCAAAAATACCAGTCTAAAAAGTCAGTGCTTCTATATGGTTCAGAAACTTGGCGTGTTACGAAAAGCATTTCCAACAAACTACAGATATTCATCAACAACTGCCACCTATGCTCACTCGATACTGAATTAGGTGGCCAGAAAGAATAAGCAACAAGGAACTCTGGCCGGGCAACGAAATAACCAAGAACTTATTACCCAACAAATATACAGAAGAAAGTGGAAATGGATTGGACATACACTGAGAAGACCATTTGAGAACATCAAGTGCCAGGCCAGACCCTAAAGTGGAACCCAAAGGAGAAACGATGAGTTGGGTGTCCAAGGGTGACATGGAAGAGATCGTATGAGGAAGAAATGAAAGCTTCTGGGCAGTCGTCGAGCCAGGTTCAAAAGATTGCAGAGAACAGAGTGAAATGGAGACGCGGTACTGAAGCTTTATGTTCCACTAGGAACCCAAGAGACAAATAATAATAACAATAATAAAAGACGACAGGAGCTATTACTATGCACTACTACAAATAGAATCTTTGTGCTGAGAAATTTGTACAATTTCTTTGATTATCTTGACCATTAGGGTACATTAACATGCATCTTCAATTTTATTTTATTTTTTGTTCAGTGAAGTTGGTATTCATCATGGACTGACATCAGTTGGAAACTGCAAACCCAGGAGCACTGAACAGCTGTTTTGCCCGAATATAGAACTCCTCAGCATTACGCACCCATGACCCCACGAGGTATCGGATGCAGCACCTTCCAGGTCCGCGGCCAGCACGTTACCGTTCAGTCACTGGATTGGAATCCTATGGTCCATAGTCCCTACTTATGTCAGCCAACCGAGTCGAACATAAGTAATCCAACGACGGCATTGGATGGAGGCTACACTACATAATGAAGCGACAGAAGTAGGAAATATGCACCATGGGATTCCAACCCAGTGGCTCAATGGCAATGTGCTTACCGCAGAACCTGAAGGATTTTGGTTTGGTCCATGGGGCGGTAGTGTCATAGGTGAGCGATGCTGAGTAGTTTCATGCTGGAACGAAATAACTGTCCAGTCCTCCGACGTTCCCAATGTTTCTCCAAACCTAAATCAATAAACAAATCCACATAAACCTCCAAGTTGAACTATAATTTCTTAACAAAGGACCGTCTCTTCTCTTCAGCTTACATTGTTTGTCTCCTTAGTTCTCCGTCTCCCGATTATTAAGTAATTCAGGTAAATATGTTAGTTGTTATGCCATCAGTGAATTAACAACCTGTTTTACTACATTTGACACTCTTGCCAATTTTATGCAACGATCACTGTATTCATCAATTCGCATCTTCATTTCTCTGATTGTTAGCGTTATGAGCAACTTTCAATCAGTAAAGGCTTAAGATAGACATCATCATCATCATCATTGTCAACATAGGACCAGGCATTACTGCCTCACGGTCCAACTTGCCACACCTCATATCAGCACATCAAGTAAAAAGGCAGTGAGGTGAAGGATGAAGATAAGTGAATGCAGTCAAAAGAAATATAAAGTACGAGAAGAAAGGAAAGGAGTGACAAAATAGTGAGATTCGGTATAGCGTTTTTAAGATGAGGATAATGTGTGTGGGGATACATCTGCGCCACTGACTTCGGTTCTGAGCCATATCACCTAGGGTCTCCAACGGATCGATAGACACATACTACTCAAGGTAAGACAAAAAATTATAGAAACAATGAGACGGGTACAATATAATCATGAAGTGAGAAAGAATCTTCAGAAGCTAAAATGATGAACGAAATACAATTTTAACGAAAGTGAGGATAAAGTAAGATGGTAAAACAATATGACCTATATTACTTAATAGTAGTAAGTAGCTGGAAGCATAAAAAGGATATAATGATAACATAGAATTAAGGAGAATCATGAACAGAATCAGTATAATCTTTATCGTAAAATAAATTATGGGAAGAACTTTAGTAGAAAAAGATGCAATAGAAAACTTAGAAATGAGTCCTAAACCTGAATTTCAACAGACTGAATGAGTGTATTCCATCACATTACATAGCTGAGGACTCTATCAACTAAAAGTCATTTGCACAAGAAAAACTGCTAGCAAAATCACTAAACGAGCACTATTTCAAGTTGTTATTCGTCGAAGACTGACATCAGTTGGAGGAACAAAGGAAACCTAGGAGCACTGGACAGCTGTTTCGTCCTTTGTTCCTCCAACTGATGTCAGTCTTCGACGAATAACAACTTGAAATATTTCCAAATCTCCACAACCCCCTCAAAAATTTAAACGAGCACTATATCTAACTAGATAATCCTATCGTAAACAGTTCTCAGGAAAAAATTTTAAGTGAAAGATTAAAAACTGGAAAATAAGTAATGACAATAAACTTACACTATTCTCATGGACAGCATGTAGTCCTACCAATTCCAATGAAGCTAGATAGTGTAAAGAAGAACGCCATGAACTATTCAGTTCCAAAATTCCATCCGGTGACATACCTGAACTCAAAAGATAATCTACCAATATATTCACATCTGTAACATTTCGAGTTAACAAAAGATAACGGATCACCTGGACATCACATACAAGTGAATTTTCTTTAGAAAAGGTTTGAAGTGAAGAATTGGTGAAGGATCCATGTTCACTGACAAAATGAGTTTGCAAGATAGGCATTTGTAGAAATGATGAGAATTGATATTGATGCGTCATATTACGCATATCTACATCACCTGAGGTTGAAAATGGGGAACTTCCTCTGAGTGAACGTGGTCTGAAAGGAGTAGAAGTTTGATCAGTAGGAGACCATATCTCATAGTTGAACCAAAAGCCAAGACCTTGAGTACATAAATCCTCTTCATTCAGTGAATATAATTTCATAGTAGGATTATGACTAGGATTAGGTAAATCTGAAATTGAGTCAGGGATAAGAGAACATAGATGTTGACAGTTCATATCATTATCAAATGAACTTATAGAACATGTTGCCTCAAAGACAGATTGTAGGTATTTTCTATTATCCATAGGCAAAAAGTTCATCTAAAAAAGCAAAAGATGAAACAATCAATAAATCAATGAAAAGGTATGTAAAATGAAACTAAGCACAGAAAACAACCATAAGTATCATCATATTAAATCACTAGTGATGAAATGTTACCCGAAAAATTCACACAGAAACACAACAACAATTTGACATTCTACATATAACTAAATTTAATCAACAGAGTATTGAAGTCTACTCACTGATACCAATCTATGAGCACACAGTGGTTTCAAATATGATAATTATGCAAAAATTAGGAACCGTATATGTGCATGCCATTAGTAATGTGTTTGTTACATATGTAGTAACGGGAAGTCTAGACATTAGATTACCGTCAACGAATATAAGAGGACTACATCCAAGTTGCTACAGGTCATATCAGTGGAAGAGGAAGATGAAAAAAAAGAAGAAAATTCAGTCAAAATAATATAAAGTACTAAAATGTGAGAAAGGAAAATAGAGAAAATGGTGAGATTCGATAAAGCGTTAAGATGAGGATAATGTGTGTGGGGATATATCTGTGCCACTGGCATAGGCTCTCACTCATGTGATCGCCTGGAGTCAGTCTTCAACCACTGGTTCCACTTGTCCCACAGACCCCAACCCCCTAGTCTTCATCGCCTCACATGACTCAAACCAACAGTTAAAGACTCCATACATTCATTCCATGTTTTAGTCTAGCCGCCTAGAGCCCTTTACCAGCCTGAACTTACTTCGGCCAACATTGTGTGACGAGGCAATCGGCGACTAGGCATACGTAATGCGTGTTCCAACCATCTCAGTCGATGAAGGCTCACAACTGCATCAACTGACTTACCTCACCTGCCTAAAACTTTACGCCTGACTTTTGCATTACCCACGTGCTGACACCACGGAAATACAGCCTATACTACGAAGGCAAGGGTGGTCAAACACCTGAAGCCAGACTTCTCATGTCTTCCACCTTTAATGGCCATGTTTCACAGCTATACAGTAGAACAGAGCGGAGTGTTGTGCGGTACACCGAATCCTTAATAGACAATCGGATAACACGGCGGCGCCATAGGTGGCGTAAATTGGCAAAAGCCAGCGGACCCTTTTGTATTCGTGCAGAAATTTCGTCGACGACTGAGCCACCATTATATATCCAAAAGAAAAACTCAAACCAAAAATTGAGTTTACGAATTCAGCGAAAAAAGACAGGTAATGCATATGGAAGCTCTAAACAAACGTCAAAAGAAAAATAACAAACAAACGTTTCAGAAAGTGTAGTGCTTCAAGCAGCTCCACTATACAGCAGCATGCGAAGATAAAGTAGACAGAATAACATTGATATAAACGTAGACAACAGTGGATAACTAAGAAGAAGTGAAAAAATAAGAACCCGTTAGAATGTAAGAGAGTATGTAATTCCATGTCATCACTAATAACAACCCCGATTTACAAAACTCAAATTGTTCATCAACGCCCGATCAAAGATAAAAATCTGGAAACCCACATGCCTTCCTACATGGAGAAAACTAACTATCAAAGATTTTAGAGAGTAATGACACACTTAATCTGACCACCTTTGGTCTTCTTTCTACCGACACCTACTTTGTGGAGAATTGCATGTCGAAGTAGACGGTTACTCAGTATAACCAACACGTATCCAAGCCACATCGATCAGTGAATATTCAAAACCCCATCAACTAGCTTACACTCCTTTCCCAGTGCTCTACTTCTATCCTCGATATTGCTCACACAGTGATCGTACCATCCTTATCCACCCACCGAGGTCTGGTCTTTGCAACCAGGTAGAATGGCTAGCTGTAACACAATAAGAGTGACTCACTGTCTACGGCACGAACGTGCATGTAGTTGTTCAGTGGATTTCCGACACGTCAACAATGCTGCGAAACCTCTAATGACTACTACTATAATCAATCATGTCTCACAGCCGAAAAGAATAAGAGAGTGAACGATAGGGCAGTACAACTGTCTTACAATAGCTTATCAAATGGAAATGTTAAAAAGTTAGTCCTATTTATGAATTTAGACAGTGCCATCGGAAGACGAAGTTTTTCTGAATAATGTGATGTATTCGTAAAGTAAAATCCGAATATTACCATAACTCATTTACTTATCAAGTGACAGCGAGAGGATAACTACGACAAATAACATAATAGTGGGTTTCATCAACAAAGAAAGACGCCAACAAACACGAAGCAATGAAGGCGAACTCGCACTGCTGGCTGGATGGGATGTGACAGCAATAAGATGGTTTCCGTGGACGACCAACAGTACCATGCTGATACTTCTAGCTTCTCGGTAGAAAATCGACTTGGGTAAGGTCACCTCCAAAATAGAGCACTCCTACCTGCCCCACCGTCTTCCCGTGTCGACGGTATGGGGTTTTCTTATCCGACATTAGAACAACCAAATCTCATACCAACAATCCTCAAAAGATTCTACGTGACTGGATTCAAGCAGACGTCCCTTAGACTCAGCAATCACACGAATCTCCCACTCTCAGGTACATCAAGAAGTAATATCCTTGAACTTTGTGGGCATCTGGGAAGTGTCAACTACTCACACGCTTCCAGTAATATACAAAATCCAATCAAACACAGTCTATCCTCATCAACTCTCTCTCCCCTGACTTCACCTCTTGATACTAATATTGAACCTCTTACAACTTCCTAAACCTCTCACTCTGCAACCATTTCCAACGATCCAAGACATCGAAACCTCACTCCCAGTCTCCTAGGACCACACCGTCAATTTAATCTTCGAGCTTTCAACGCCTGAACCCCATGCTAAATCTCACAACAGGTTTCACTCGCCAAAACTCTGGAATCTCTAGCCATGGATGTATACTGTGCTTCTGTAACACATGTGCACAACTCGAGTGTGGTTATTCACTTGACCTCACCTGACCAATGCACTGAATCTTCAAAATTCACTTTACGCATATCTGAAGACTCAATGACTAACTCTCGTTGACTCGCTGATGTAGTAGGCATCTGCGAGTTGAGTTGTATGTAGAGCAATAAGCACACTCTTCGACTGGATACCAGTCAGTCAACACCCATCTGTGTGCTGCTCGACTGAATGGATCTGTAGGAACTAGGAAGGATCGTAAGACTACCCGATGCCTATTCGTAATCTCAGCCTACACTCCCACAGAATGGAGTTCAGATTATGCAAAGGATGAATTCTATCACACGACGTGAATTTTGACACATTAAACAAAGCGTCCAGATAAAGTCGTACTAGCGGCAGACTTCTACACTCAAGTAGGAAAGGTGAGCTGAGCCAGTCGGAAAGGCATGTTAGAGGTATCTTCAGAAACCCATGCCAACCAATCGAAGTGGAAGGTCTTCTCAACGCCTTGAGCAGAAATCTCCGTATGTTTGGAACGCGTTTCACCTCTGTCAAGTGTACGACGAGGATGCACCACGACTGATCTACTGTGTCGACCACTTTACTTGCCTGGAGAGTTGCATCAGGCCAAACAAACTGGTTTCTGGTGAATTCTCAGTCCGGATATAGAAGGCTCGTTCAGTGTTTGCCAACATTCATCATCTCTGGCACCGAATGGTGAGATATCCGACTATCTGTTTAAGGAAGAGTGTACTGCACTGCACTATACTACACTACACTGTAATCCGTTCTGTCCTATTACACGGTTGTGAGACATGTCCGTTGAGAGTAGAAGATATCAAACGGTTACTAGTCTTTCACCACAAGTGTCTTCGTAGAATTGCTCGCGTGTGGTGGGATCACTATATTAGCAATGTCGAGGTCAGGCAAAAAGTACAGAGCAAGGAAGTCAAGTCAGTCGGTTAAGTTGTGAACGCTCAACAACTGACTGTGGTGGCTTGAATACACCTGTTCCCCATGTTAGGCCATTACCTACCTCGACATGCAGTGCTAGGAAAAATTGGGTTAGATTGGAAGAAGACTTCAGGAGACCAAAGATGGACGTGGCATCAGTCCAGGACGTCTCTCTCTGAATGTTGTTCCTATACGTGTGAGGGGGTGTGGACTACACAGCTGGGGTCCTCAGGATGATAGGAATCACTGGTTGAGCACTGTTGGTGAAATAGCTGGAAATCAGTCACTGTGGTGCAGATGTATTCACTCTTTAGCGTCTTCTAAAGCTAGAATTTTTTGACTAACCTTCATTTCTAAATTCCTTCTCCTCCCATAGACCTTTGTCTACTCTGATATCAGTCTTTTTCTATCTACTTGTTTTCTGTAGGCTACTGTAAGGTGTGGCAACCTGAACAGATCCCATTGAGTAAAAGATTCTATGTTCATTCTTATATCTGTCTTCTCATTTGTAACGTAAGAATACTGACCGAAAGACGTGAAGGAAAGCCAGAAAGAAGATTGATATTGGTATGAAAGAAGTTGAGTGCTAACGAAGTTGTAAGGGCGGTTGACACTTTCCGGATCCCTAATCTGTGGAAAATTACTTTTTCGAGTTACTTTAAGCGAAATCGGACTAGAAGTAGCAGTGAATGACTTCAAAGCCCAAAAAAAATTCGTCTGAGGCCGATCAAACAAAGCCTCTTTGTAAGTCTCAGTTTTCAGTTCGGCATCAGAGGACCACAGGGTAGGAGTGTTCGATTTCATGAACCGATCTTAACTAACGCCCACTTCTCATCGGGAAGAAGATAGTATTAGGGTCTACTGCTATTCGTTCGAGAAACATCTTATTGCTGTCAGACGCTGATTACAGCAATTTTTATCTCACTACTATCCAATAGACGTTTCTGGTATGGAGGAACTTCAAGTTATAAATGTTTCCACCAGTATAGCTCGTTTAGTCATTACAGCATGCAAGTCCGACCACAACTTCAAGACGGCAACCATCGTCCTCTTCTAAATTTGCTGATAATATATTGACCTGTGCTTCGTTGATCCGATTTAGAACCGAAGTGATATATCATGACATATAATCAGAATTTCATGCATATATCGTTTTTGAAATTGACGTTTCCCAACTAAGGCCTAAGATAACCTTTCAACATGCTCTATATACTGGAAAAGGGACAAGAGGAGCTTAACAAACCAACACCATGAATCTGATGAAAATATTCGCCTTTAGACGTAGACTTCATATTGTTAGTATTTAGAAGAAAAATATTCAGTAAAGTAAAGAAACTTAAGCAAAATACGTCTTTTTATTGTTTTGTCGATATATTAAATCAACTGATAAACCCACCAAATATTATTCAAAAATTGACCGATTGCTTTAATGTACCTTGGTTACTGATTTTCATACTTCAGTTTTCAGTATATCAACATACCAAACAAGAGATTGGTAGATAAAACCAGAAAGAAAATATTGGTAACTAAGACAGTTCGATTCAGTCGATTCTTGTCCAGGGATTGAAAAATTCAAACATATCATGGTATTAGATATCTTGGTTATCAAGTCTCATAACTATCATATAGACTGACCAAGTGCTTTAAATAACAGCAGAGGAGAGCAATATCGATCTACTGAAGGAAGTAGTTGGAACATAAGCTTAAGCTGTTATGCAGCATGCAAGTTTATTAATTATAATATAACAAAACGTTATTCAAAACTGAATCAGGAAAACAATAATTACACAAGAAACGAAAAAAAAAATTTCAAGAAAACATTTGACATACCATTTTATGGGATATAAGTGCTTCTAACAAACCATGAAAATTCTTTTGTATTGAAAATAGATCGGAATTCTGTTTGATTGGTTTGTTTAATAAACTTCCTAATAAACAAATCCCTTCTTGAACTAGAAAAGTAACATACTGACAAATTATTAAAATATGAGTTGAATAAGAATTTTCTAAGGTTGATAACTTCTCTAACAAGGAAGCTAAACAATCGAATAAGAATTCCCTTCCTTTTATGGTATCAATATAAATTATCGGCGATACAGTATGCTCTTTTCTTGTTAACAGCTCCAAATTTGTTCGGGGAATATTCAGTAATAATTCTGTCGTCAAAGTAAACGGAAGTTCCATAGAATTTGATATTAGTCGTTCAATCGAATTACATATATGTATCTAAGTGTAAAATAAGCAAAAATAAAATCAGACAAGCAAAAAGTAAAAAAACAAGAGAAGTAAAAGGTAGTAAAAATAACAGCCCTATAACGATTGGTCCCTGGAGTATAACTGATTTTATGCTGACAGAACTTCCCAATGTGGGAAACTAGATAGTACCAACCGTAAGTACACTTCTACAAGTAAACAAAATCCCGGCGGATGGCAAGTACAATGGCTTACGTATGTCTCTTAAGTGAAAGACTGCAAAAACGCTTACGCAAGGACCGTCAGGCTTGATGGTAAGAATGCGCGAGTCAGATAGAAGCAGAAACTGCATCGGGCAACAGTCACAAGGTGTTCCACCTCATCCAAGCCACTGGCAGCAAGATGTCTGGTCTTTGAGGTAGATGATACGCCGATAAATGACTGAACGACTGATAAAATCAACGTAGAACATTGTAGATGTACATTGGCTCAACTTAATTCATAGTACAAAGAACAGATGGATAGAAAAGGAGTGATATCAAAGTAGATAAAGTAGTGTGAAAGAATAAATAATCTGAAGATAAAGGTTAGTGCAAATATTCATACTTCAGACATCAAGTAGGGAATACATCTACATCTGCGTCATTGTGACCGATTTTCAGCAGTGTCATCAGGAGTCCTAAACCACTAATTCCTTTCGTCTCATGAACCCCAACCAGGCAGTCTACATCTCCCCACACCACTCACACAAACAGTCAGGAACTTCATTGACTGTTGCCAGGTCTTCGTGCACCGATAAACAGTTTTCAAAGATGCCTCGAACGCTAGGTGGAACACTTCGAAAAGCAGTTTAGTTGGTCTACTGCTCCAGCACACTCAGTTTCAGTGTATCGTGCTCCATGGTCAGTTAACACTAACCCACCTAACGAAATGGAGATCCATAAGGAACTCCAAGTTTTGAAACGCCACAAGGCACTCGGCCTAGATAACTTACCCCCAGCTCCTTATAAGGATGGAGGAACAACTCTAGTCACGGAAAAGACTAGATGGTTTTAGAAGGTTTAGCAGACTGTATTCCAGCACTCTCGAATGAAGCAAACATCCTCAAAAAAGGTCAATGTAATGTATGTGACAATCATCGGGGTATTAATCTGTCACCAGTCGCGTTGAAAATACTGGCTGCTATCGTGCTTCGCAGACTTTGCAAAAGCATGAGAAAATGATTCGCGAGGAGCAGGTCACGTTTCGTTCACGTCATGGATGCACTGACCGTGTGTTCACCCTCCGCTAGATGCTTGAATATCGCAACACGCATTGCAGGCCGACAATCCTTGTGTTTCTTCACATTAGGACTGTCTTCGATTTCTTGGAAAGAGCTGTACTCTGAGATTGTCTGTCATAGAAAACCGCACCCCAGAAATTTATTGACATCCTGAGAGTCCTATGTGAGAACACTTCAGGTAGAGTGAGGACAAACAACCGCCTATCTCTGTTGTTCAAAAACACCACTTGGGTTACACAGGGATGCCCGATTTCTCCATTCCTCTTTAACTTTTGTCATCGATGACATTCTTCAGACAGCTCTGAATAGGATGCATGGCGGTAGTGTAGACCTACTACCTGAGGAACGACTATTCAACCTCGAATATGCAAACGATATCATCTTACTGCGTGATAACACACAAGCTACTCAAATCGCACTTAATCAGTTGGCGATTAGTGTCCGTAAGTATGGTATGTGCTTTGCGTCATCGAAATGCAAAGTAGATTTGCAAAATTAGCAGAAGCCTCTGACTGTGCTAATCTTTCGCGTAAGCTGTTGGAAGTAGTCGAAAAGTTCGTTTATCTGGGTAGTGCTGGTGGTGTGTGATGAAATTTCCAACCGTATGTCGAAAGTCACAGATTCATACGCCAATCTCGGCCACCTTTGGCAACATCGCGACGTTAGTCTGACCGTAAAAGATCGGGTTTACAAAGCTTCGGTGAGAGCAGTTCTGTTCTACGCCTGTGAAACCTGGCCTGTCTAACCTAAGGATGTATGACGACTCTATGCATTCGATCATCGTTATCTCCGTAGGACTGCTCGCATCCGATGGCAACGCCATGCAAATAATTCTGAGGTACGGACAGCGTGTGTCTGAGCATCATGGGGATCGTCATTCAATAAATGAAGTCATCAGGAAACACCGACTTCGGCGGCATGTCGTCTCAACGACTTGCATACAGTTCATTGTTTGCTAGCCCTGGGACTGGATGGAAGAAGCGGAGGCGTGGCCAGTGTATGACGTGGCGCTATGGACATACAGGATAGTTGTATCGGGTTAGCACTTGTTGGTGCATCACGACTATCTGAGTGGGGTCCAAGAGATCACGCAACTCAGTAGCGGTCACGATGTAGCTTCATTCCATTTTCTGATGCTGAAAAGTAATGCATGTTTTGTTTTGAAGGACTACTTTTCTAAATAGTCCATTCTTCTGTATTTTTTATTTATGCACTCCTCTCCACTTCACGCCTTCATAATGTTATACGGTTTTAGGAGGCCCATATCTTGGTGCCCGTGCTGTACGGTTTTTGTTCTGATAGTAGTAATTATAATAATCACTCTCTCCTGTCATACGGTTGATTCACTGTCATTGAAATTACAAGAAATAAGAGGTTTCAACAACAGATGTCTACGCAGCATTGCTAACGCGTCAAAACTCCACTCAAGAACTACATGCACGTTCGTGTTGTAGACAGTGAGTCACACCTATTGCGTTAGGACTAGCCATACTACTTGACTGCAAATACCAGACCTTGGTGGGTGGATGGGGGTTTAACCACATGACCCATCAGTGGGAAATCGAGTGCCTAGACTAATGAACAGCAACTCCTGTTAGCCTGTAGTGCGATCACCGTGTGAACAATATCGAGGACAGGAGTAGACCATTGGGCAAGGAGAGTAAGCTAGTAGATGAAGTTTTGAATATTCACTGACTGAGGTGGCTTGGATACATGATGGTTATACTGAGTAACCGTCTACTTCAACATACGATTCTCTACAAAGTAGGTGTTGGTGGAAATAATCAATCAATCAGTCAATATCAACATAGGACCAGGCATTACTGCGTAACCGTCCAACTTGCCACACCTCATATCAGTACATCAAGTAGAAAGGTAGTGAGGTGAAGGATGAAGATAAGTGAATGCAGTCAAAAGAAATATAAAGTAAGAGAAGAAAGAAAAGAGGAATGACAAAATCGGTTCTGAGCCATATCCCTTAGGGTCTCCCACCACTGGTTCCTCTTGTCCCGCGGACCCCAACCACCTAGTCCGCATCGCCCCACATGGCTCAAGCCAACTCTGAAGTTATAACATCCTTAAATTAGTTCAGGTACCTGAAAACTTATGATTTGATAAATAATTAAAGTACAAACGGCAAAAAAATTCACATGAAATTCATGTTGCATACCTTGGTGAAAAGTTGACGAACAGCTTCAAAATCTGATATTCTACTGTTGCGTAGTTGTTCAGTTTGCTTTGGATTTTTAGAAGAATTACTTTTGATATTGGCAGTATCTGTTGATTCAACAAATAAATTATGCTGAGCAGTCAATAATTTCAAACATAAGCTCTCCAACTTGTTACGAATCCCTAAACCAACTGGAATATATGAGTCAGAAGAATCACTAACAGAAACTAAACTGTTAAGTAGGATTTCATAGAGATGAGCTTCTATTGTGAGTGGTTTAACAGAAGATCCTGATTTCATATCAATAGTAGACGATAAACTCCATGGCTGAGTCCAAAAAGGATTTAACAAACATGTATGTGGTTCTGATAAACATCTTTCTAATGCTTTACAAAAATGTTGTAAAAATTCATTATGAGACTGAGAAACTGAAAAATCATCTGTAATATATCCTGAAGGAGTATATGACAAACAGGCAGTTAAATAAGCTTGTACTAATTTCAGTGTAGCTCCAGTTTCATCCAGGTAGTGAAGCTGTGTAAGACAGAGAAAGGTGAAATATTGAAATAGCGAATAACATTAATAATGATACCAAATTATTAAATAAGTCAACACAATTTACTGATGCATCCATGCAAAAACATTTTATTTTACTGGTAAAAAGTGAAAATATGAAAATATGTTACATGTTAAAGGACCTTCAACTATCAGAGACATATGCAGGAGATAGGAATGATATCACGCTTGTTGTAAAGACTTAATGTGGGTGAGTAAACTACATACTCGCAGAATTGATTTCCAGGAGATAATTACTAAATCAATGCGATTCTAGCAGAAATTTTGAACATACTAACGACATCGTATTACAACTACGTGGTCATAAAAAGTGACTTTTTGGTTCGGTCAGTCAAGTTTTAACAGTACACTCAACCCTTAAAAAACTTCAGAAAGCCTGGACAGTGTCACAAAGTGGCGAACTCCAATCACGCCTCTTATATCGATGCAGAGATTTCTTCAGTCATTGATCCGCCAAGGGTGATCCATTTTCCTAAATGAAATGGCCAACGTGCCTAATCACTTTACTCCGATTCGTTAGACAAGGCACTACAGGATTTCAGTCCAGAAGAAGCAATCTGTATTTGGATGGTAAGAAATGTATCCTAAACATTCTTAAATTACAACCCAAGGAGTCCAGAAGACTTCTCATCTTGTCAGCGTCTTCACCTAACAGGACTATGTCATCTACGTACTCTAGACTTACTAGGGAGTGACAAGATAAATTCCTGTAGTCAGATAACAAGAGATGGACCTTCACAAGTACGTTCACGATAAAGCTGAGTAAGAATGGAGAGACTGACATCTGTGATGGACGCCGCTCAACGTGCAGAAATCACTTTGTACCTCACCATACGTTCCAACATACATATATATACCACACACACAGGAACGTTTAAATACAGATCCTTTAGTACAATGATGCCTTTACTTAGCATGCGTTTAAGTGAGAGACAATACCATGAGACCTCGGTCGATGAAGCTGGATGTAGTGTATGTGTGTGTGTGAAGCAACGCAAGTAGTGAATGGATTCGCTTACAATGGTCCAGATGTACACACTCCTTTACATCTGTAAAATTTGAAACATCTTCACTAACTATTTAACGCTTGTCTAAACCTATAAACTTTTGTCTACCTGGATATCATTATCTACTAATACTCTTCCTCCATAGAATTATGGCGGTGACGTGCATAAACCCTGGGCTACTAAAATTGTACACCCAATATATTTAATCAATTTCGTCCCTTTCAATTTGTTTTGATCTTTTAACGCATCATGTACTCTCGCAAACTTTTATGATGGTTTCAAACCACCGTTGATCGAGAAGTCTTATGGCAATGTCTGTCACTGAAAGGCGTGCCTAGTAAGTACATCACGTTATTGAAAGCTCTCTACTCGAACACTTGTGGGCATGTTAGAGCCTATGGCGAGTTGTCCAGGGAACCATACTCATCAAGTGGTGTACGTCAAGGATGCCCACTATCCCATTCTTATTTAATTTTATCATAGATATTCTTATGGAGGTTTCCTTCTCGTCACCTAATTACACAGACGTTGACCCAATCACAGGTGAATTTTCTTTAAATCTAGAATATGCAGATGACATAGTCCTGTTAGGTGAAGACGCTGACAAGATGCAGAGTCTTCTGAACACTTTGAGTGGGAATTTGAGAATGTTTGGGATACGATTTTCACCACCCAAATGCAAATTTCTGCTCCAGGACTGGTCTTCAGCGGTGCCCCACCGCGGCTAACAATAGAGAGTGAAGTGGTTGAGTGTGTTGACCACTTTACTTACCTGGGAAGTAGGATCAACTCCGGTGGGTTAGTTGCCGATGAGATTTCTGCACGGATACAAAAGTCTCGATTGGCTTTTGCCAATTTGCGCCACCTATGGCGCCGCCGTGATATTCGTTTGTCTATTAAGGGTCGCGTGTACTGCACAGCAGTCCGCTCTGTTCTACTGTATGGCTGTGAAACATGGCCATTGAAAGTGGAGGATATAAAAAGGCTTCAGGTGTTTGACCACCGTTGCCTTCGTAGTATAGGACGTATTCCGTGGTGTCACCACACCACGTGAGTAATGCAGAAGTTAGGTGTAGAGTTTTGGGGAGAAGAGGTAAGTCAGTTGACGAGGTTGTGAACCTTCATCGACTGAGATGGTTGGGACACGTACTACGTATGCCTCATCACACAATGTTGGCTGAGGTGGGTCCAGGATGGGAAAAGGCCCGAGGTGACCAGACTAAAACATGGCACCAATGTATGAAGTCTCTGACTGTTGGTTTAAGCCATGTAGGACGATGCAGACTAGGTGGTTGGGGTCCACGGGACAAGAGGAACCAGTGGTTGGAGACCCTAGGTGATATGGCTGAGAACCGAAGTCAGTGGCGCAGATGTATACACACATTATCCTCATCTTAACGACGCTATACCGAATCTCACCATTTTGTCACTCCTCTTTCCTTTCTTCTCATACTTTATATTTCTTTTGACTGCATTCACTTATCTTCATCCTTCACCTCACCACCTTTTTACTTGATGTGCTGATATGAGGTGTGGCAAGTTGGACGGTTACGCAGTAATGCCTGGTCCTATGTTGATAATGATGATGATGATGACCGTTTTTCAAGCTAATAACAAAAGAAAGAAAAAAACTATACCCCGGTAAGAGATGGGCTTATAAATAAATGCACAGTAATACAGTACATTACTATTCCTTGGACAACTATATCGAATCGCAGATTTTGGTATTGACTGAGTAAACTACCATCATCAAGATTACGCTCAATTTTCTATTCATCTAAACCAGAGGCTAATGTAAAACCGGCTGTCTGTTTTGTATTGTGGTTTTTTACTACTGTTATTACTAGCATTATTCAAATGCAACTATTATTTCTTTTAAAGATATTGTACTGGGAATGAAGTTGTTGAAATATTATATGCTGAGAATTCCATACTACACCACATGTGTTTTTTGGAACAAGGCAATTATTATTGTTATCATTAAAACATTTACTTAAATAAAAATCAGAAATTTACGGCAAAGTGATACGTGTAAAGGGTAACAGACGTTCAACGTGTCCTATCTCACTTCAGTAATTATAATGCACTTGATTTATTTGATTTAGTTAATTCCATAGGAGATGTCAACTTACACTTGATCATTTTGCAATCCTATGATATAGCTAATTATTCATATGAAAGGGAAGAGGAATATCTGGTGCACGAGCTTCGGGGAGATCGTATAGTTTTAGGTGTTTAAGTAACTTGGCAATGGTGATCGATTTGGCGTTTGATCTTCACTATTTTGATCACATTTTTCGTTAATTCAGCTGTTTTTGAACAGCTTCTTCCGACAATTTACTTTAATCTCCTAATACGGATAACAGTATTATTGTAATGTATATGACTCATGAAGACCATAGTGGAGCCTTTGTTGGGATATAACAATTCATGATGAAACACAGATGAACACTCCATATACTTATACGTATGTATGACAAAGTAAGCGAAAACAGAGGTGGAAGAATTTCGATGGTTCATGTAGACGAGAACTGGTCAGGCAACCAGTGTGATCACTACTGCTTATCAATATTATTCTTTCCATCCTCTGTTATTTACTCTGTAGACGTGAATTTTAGTCTTCCTACTACTGTTTTACTTTTCTTACCTCTCCTATTAATTTCTCGATAATCACCTTGTGGTTCTAGGAAAAACTTTCTAATGACCTGGTGTTGATTTTTCAGCCACTGACGAATACAGATTACCTTATTGTAACTACAAATACGGATGTACAGCTTAGAAAACGTTTGCCCCACTGATTTCTGTTTTGTTAACCTTGTGGAGCGTAAACTGTTATTATTCATGGTGTTCACAAAGCACTATTCTTTTTTGCTTATGAGTCATGATAAGTTAATTCCTAGGTTCAAAGGTACCTCAGATTTAGTTAAAATGTGAGGAGAAATTGTGTCTAAAACAGTTATATTCAACATACCTGTTGAGTCTGCATTTCGTTGAAGACAAGTTGAAGAAGCTCCTGTGATCGACTAAACTGCTGTTGTTGAAAAGCATAGCGTCCTAGTACAAAGTTAAGTGATGCAGAAAGATAGCCTTTGCACAAAGGTTTTGAGTACTGAAGAACAAACTCTGATAAGAAGTTGGGACTTTGATCTTCTTGAACAAACTCAGACTTTGGTAACTTGGAAATAGTTGAAAAAGTTGAGTCCATTACCGAAAATGCTGATGAAAAAGGTCTAGCTATATTAAGACTATCCAACAAACTATTGATCTCATTTAACTGATTCACAGACTCCTGTATACGTGTTAAAACAACGCCAACTTCAACACGATTATCAGCAAAAAATGTTACTTCAGGGACTTCAGTTAAACCAGAAACAACTGGTGTAAGATTTCGAAACGGTTGAGGCAACATACTGGATGAAAGAGAAACCTGAATTATGTTACATCATGCAAATGAAAAAACGTACATGAAGACACCATATATGGTAAGACATTATTCCATAAATTGTCATAGGATTCAACTGAGACCATGTATAACAACCATATGGATTGATTGTAAAGATGTTTTCTTTGTCTACTGCCTTTTCAAATAAAGGTTGAAAAATTGACGAACACTTTGCAGTATGCATTATTAAAACTCTATAAAGACGTGCAAGAAGCTTAACAGGCATTTCTGATACTATACGGAATAAATTTAGACTGAATTTCAAATTTGCAGCAATCTGTAAGGATATTATATCTAATACCTTAGATTTTTTGAATAATTTAGATGATTCTATAAATACATCATCAGAATTCACAATTTCATTTTCTAAAGTTAAGTTATCACTTAAACTATTCTCTGAATTAGTTAAGTTTGTTTTTCGTTCACTGATTTCAGCTTGTGATAATGATTGTTTCAGTAATTCCAATTGATGTGATATTGTTAGTCTATCAATATCCAATAGTAATTTAGTTGGTTGAGCTAAATAAAATAACCAATTTCGTTCAATATAATCAGCGTTTTGCATTTTCAAAAGTATTGAGCATTAAAATATTACTGAAATATGAAGATAAAAAAAGTATTAAAATACTACGAAAAAGTTAAAATGCTAAAATTAGTTAAAGAATAATAAATACTTTTATACGTAAACAGATATGGTGTTTAGTGTACAGATGGATAAGAAATAACTTAAAATTTCAGATAATAAGGCGATCATTCCAATAAGATGAAAGATACCGCACCACCACCAACAACAACAAACTCCAATCACCGTCAACGGGAGAAACTTAAAGGAAGTAACCTCCTTCACTTATCTAGGAAGCACTGTTTCAACTACAGGCGGGACGGACGAGGACGTCAAAGTCAGAATCGGAAAAGCAAGACAGGTGTTCATTAGCCTGAAACCAGTGTGGAGATCTTCTGCACTCAGCATGTGGAACAACATCCGGATTTTCAACACCAATTCAGTCAAGTCAGTGCTTCTGTATGGTTCAGAGACTTGGCGCGTCACGAAAGGGATTTCCAATAAACTACACACATTCATCAATAACTGCTTACGCTCGCTACTGAAGATCAGATGGCCAGAAAGAATAAGCAACAAGGAACTCTGGGAACGAACCAACCAAGAACCTATCACCCAACAAATATGCAGGAGAAAGTGGAGATGGATTGGCCATGCACTGAGAAGGCCGACTGGGGACATCATGCGTCAGGCCAAGTCGTCGAGTGGAATCCCCATGGGAAGCGACGAGTTGGACGTCCGAGGGTGAGATGGAGGAGATCGTGCGAGGAGGAAATGAGAGCTTCTGGGCTGTCATGGAACCAGGTTCAAAAGATCTCAGAGAACAGAGGTCGCTGGAGACGTGCTACTGAAGCCCTATGTTCCACTAGGAACCCAAGGGACTAATAATAATAATTCCAATAAGAAATAAATATCAGAAGAGATACATCTCAAGGCAATGGTAATATCAGTTTCCATAAGATGTTAATACACTCTAATCCACTTTAATTTACATGAAGAAATACCATAAAATAACTACAAACTACCCAATCATAAATTTTGATACAACAAGGATTCGAATATATAAAAATTTACAAGACAAGTGACATTAAAATGGAGCAATAAAAAGGTTTAAAAGCAAAATAAACGAGATACTAAATAAGCAGTCACTATAATAAATTCAAAAAAGCATTAACTAATTCTCCTTAATTATTCGGTAACATTAAAAATAAGAAAACTCTGAGTGAAATATTGGTATAGAGCCTTCAACATATGCAGGAGTCGAGAAAGCCGTAAGTAACCTGAAACGCAAAGGAGCAGCATAGCTATATTGGCTGGTCATGGAGGTATCTGAGGATGGTGGTCATAGACTATTGGTCAGTTTAACTCAAGCGTTAGCTAGTGTATGGGAAACAAATATGACCTGTTCAGACTGATCTCAATTACTGATTGTTCCAGTCTTGATGAAAGAGGGGAAATCCTCTTGTGATAACCCCAAGAGAATAAGTCTGACGATAATTTTGTCTAAGATTCTACATTGTACGATCATATGACGTCCAAGTACAGTTCGATAAAAGCGAACACGAGGGAATCAAGCAGGTTTTAGACCTGGTCATGGGTGTATAGACCAGATATTCACTCTCCGCCAGGTGCTGGAACATGGAATCACTTACCGACGCCTGACACGCTATATTTCATGACGTGGTTACATTCGAATCCGTCGACCGAGAGGTTTTATGACAGTCTCTCATTGGAATGGGTATCGAGTAAGCATATCACTGTTGAAGGCTCTGAACTGTAATACCAGCGAGTATGTCAGAGCCTACGGTGAATTGTGTATGTCAGGTGATGTTCACTATGGATATTTACTCCATTCATCCTTATTCAACTTTGTTATACACGTACTCATGGAGGTCATTCTTTTGTCATCTGATTTTACAGGGATTTATCACAGGAGACTCTTTGGCAGATCTAGAGTACGCAGATGACATAGTCCTGTTAGGTGAAGACACTGACAAGATGCAGTCTTTGTGAAACCTTGAGTAGCAATTTCAGGATGTTTGAGACGTGTTTCTCGTCACCCAAATGCAAATTGTTACTCCATGACTGGTCTCCTTTAGTGACTTGTCCAACAGTAGGGATTAATGGCTGAGTACGTTGACCACTTCCTTTCCTTAGGAAGTCAGATCAACCATGATGGGTCAGTAGTCGACGAAATCTACACAGAAATACAGAAGGCTTCATTGGTTTTCGCCAACTTACGCCATTCGTGGTGCCGCTGTGATATCCCATTGTCTACTGAGGGTTGAGAGCACTGCACTGAAGTTCGCCCTGTTCTACTTTATCGTAGGGAAACATGACCACTAAAGGTAGTGGATATACGAAGACTTTAGGCGTTCGACTACTATTGTCACAGTAGCATAGGCCATGTGTTATGGGGTCACCACGTCATTAACGTAGAGGTCAAGTGCAGAAGAGGAAAACCAGTCGTTACGGTTGTGAACTTTCAGCGACCGAGGTGGATTGGACATTTTGCTCATCCCTAGCTACCACCTACATCGACTAGCATTTCACATCATGACCACTGTCTACGCGCGTACTCAGGAAGTGCCGGTAGTCTTTAACCAACCCTCTCTGGCAATACATAAGTGCAGTATGGTCCAACTGTCTAACGCTGAGTTGACAACAATAAACATCACGTCAGACAGTGTTATTCTGAAATTCATGCTAGCCAGAAATGCATGGTTTTCTGATTGCAGATTCAGCGGGTGGTAGCCCTTATCTATTCTTTCGGCTCGAATTACAAAAGTGCAATCGAATTCCCTTTCCCTCTGACTTTTCGTTCTTCGTTGCACATTCAGATCAAGTATTGTGACGGCCTTATCTGAGCGTTTGGCTCTTATTGGGTTAGACAATCCTCGAGAGAACTCATCGTCCACTTCATCAGGACTGCAACCAGTGGGCGCGTAGGCAGAGATTACAAAGAATAAACAGAAAGTGTAGATTTTTTCTTCCTGGTCCTCACAGTGCCGCTCTGCTAAGCAGCGCATAGGAGACTATCAGCCCGGATCCAGTGGGACAGAACACTGTCTTAACACAACAGGATACCTACACCTGCATGACAGACACAACTAACCAACGAATGTTCCCAAACGTGTAGACTCACCATACTGACCAGATGAAGTAAAGGGAATAAACGCACTTCGGTCCTGAATGCCTGTCTCACAGATACAAAAAACATCCAAGGCAAGAGATACTAAAATTCTAGATAGTGAAGCTTGAAAGCCAATTCGACGGGGGGTGTGGAGGTTGGAAGCTCGAATAGGTAGTCTTGAGTGCGGTTCTAAGAGACTAAGGATGTTGTACCGCGAACACGAATCGGCATTAAGGGCTACTGAGCTGGAAGAAAATATAGATAACGCAGAAATATTGACCGAAAGACGTTAAGAAAGGTTAGAAAGTAAGGAGGTGGAAGACTGATAACGATTCTAGAAAAGATTCTAGAAAGTACTGACAGCTGTGAAGGTAGTTGATATCGCAGATGCCCACATTGCGATAGGTTTCTACCCCAGGTACCTTAAAAAAAGTAGCGGTATATGACTGAGAAATTCAAGGGACATCCGCTTGAGGCCGGTTAAACACGGCTGCTTAGCAAGTCTGTTTCAAGTTTCATTGACTTAAATTCACCCAGGAAATCTATACCATCGGTACCAGAAGATCATAGGGTAGGACGACTGTGCTGTCTCCGGAACCAACCTCCTTCAACCCCCATACCATAAGGACGGAAGCACTAGCAAAGCACTGCTAGTGATACACAAGGAAACACCTTCCCAACTTCTATCCAGCCAGTAGTACGACTGAACCTACCAACTCCCATCACTGCGCAATCTACACCATGCTGCGCAATCACTATTACTAACAGCCACTTCGAACTGAAGTTTTCGTTAAGCTTGAAGGACAACATGACTGCTTTTTAGTATTAGATCGAAATCCTTCCCAAATGGGAGGTAAACACGTCTACACCATTCTCTTCATCAAAGCAGTAATTACATTCGAACAAATAAGTTATTCATTCAAGGGTAACTAACTTCAATACAATTAATTCTGTGGATAGTGCATGAAACTAATAACTAGACAAAAAACAGTTCAGTTGCAATTATGCATATTGGTCATAGCGATTGTTTCCAGTATTCCATTGATGGTACACCACTACTTCTAGTCTTTGAACTAAAAGACTTCGGTTCCATCATTAGTCATGATTTGAAAACCTCGGCAAACTGTAATGCAACTGCAGCAAAGGGCTTCCGCGTATTTTGTTCCTTCCGCAGAGCTTTCAAAAGTTTTGATCACATGTTTAGAATACTATACTATACTTACGTCAGACCTCACTGCATGAGGACGGCCAGCCCATGCCTAGAAAAAGGATGCTGATGCACTTGAGCGTGTTCAAAGGGTAGGTACTTTGCTTGTGGCAGGCCTTTCGAATCTGTTCTATGAGGAACAACTAGATCACCTAAACTTATTCCCACTGTCTTACCGTAGGAAACGCGCTGATCTCATACTGGCATTTCGTATTCTTAATAATGACTTCATGTCCTATCTTTTCTCCCCTACTAGGACTGACTACCTCCGAGAGTATCACAAGGAAATCCAAAAACCGCGATTGAATCAACTTAGCGGGAATCTGCCTTTCTCCTATCGTGTAGTCAACGACTGGAACTCCTTATCTCACCAAGTAGTATCATCATCATCATTATCAACATAGGACCAGGCATTACTGCGTAACGGTCCAACTTACCACACCTCATATCAGCACATCAAGTAAAAAGGCAGTCAGGAGCAAGATGAAGATAAGAGAATGCAGTCAAAAGAAACATGAATTATGAGAAGAAAGGAAAGAGGAGTGACAAAATGGTGAGATTCGGTATAGCGTCGTTAAGATGAGGATAATGTGTGTATACATCTGCGCCACTGACTTCGGTTCTGAGCCATATCACCTAGGGTCTCCAACCACTGGTTCCTCTTGTCCCGTGGACCCCAACCACCTAGTCTGCATCGTCCTACATGGCTTAAACCAACAGTCAGAGACTTCATACATTGGTGCCATGTTTTAGTCTGGCCACCTCGGGCCTTTTCCCAGCCTGGACCCACCTCAGCCAACATTGTGTGATGAGGCATACGTAGTACGTGTCCCAACCATCTCAGTCGATGAAGGTTCACAACCTCGTCAACTGACTTACCTCTTCTCCCCAAAACTCTACACCTAACTTCTGCATTACTCACGTGGTGGTGACACCACGGAATACGTCCTATATTACGAAGGCAACGGTGGTCAAACACCTGAAGCCTTTTTATATCCTCCACTTTCAATGGCCATGTTTCACAGCCATACAGTAGAACAGAGCGGACTGCTGTGCAGTACACGCGACCCTTAATAGACAAACGAATATCACGGCGGCGCCATAGGTGGCGCAAATTGGCAAAAGCCAATCGAGCCTTTTGTATCCGTGCAGAAATCTCATCGGCAACTAACCCACCGGAGTTGATCCTACTTCCCAGGTAAGTAAAGTGGTCAACACACTCAACCACTTCACTCTCTATTGTTAAGCCGCGGTACCGCTGAAGACCAGTCCTGGAGCAGAAATTTGCATTTGGGTGGTGAAAATCGCATCCCAAACATTCTCAAATTCCCACTCAAAGTGTTCAGAAGACTCTGCATCTTGTCAGCGTCTTCACCTAACAGGACTATGTCATCTGCATATTCTAGATTTAAAGAAAATTCACCTGTGATTGGGTCAACGTCTGTGTAATTAGGTGACGAGAGGGAAACCTCCATAAGAATATCTATGATAAAATTAAATAAGAATGGAGATAGTGGGCATCCTTGACGGACACCACTTGATGAGTATAGCTCCCTGGACAACTCGCCATAGGCTCTAACATGCCCACAAGTGTTCGAGTAGAGAGCTTTCAATAACGTGATTTACTTACTAGGCACGCCTTTCAGTGACAGACATTGCCATAAGACTTCTCGATCAACGGAGTCAAATGCCGCCTTCAGGTCGAGAAATACAGCTATTGTCGGGCGTCTGTAAGCATGCCTATGTTCCAGGACCTGGCGCAGTGTGAATATTTGGTCGATACATCCACGGCCAGGTCTAAAGCCTGCCTGGTTTTCTCGGGCTTGGTGTTCCCGAGCTCCAGTCAGGCGTCGGAGAATTATGGAACCTAGGATCTTAGACACTATGTTCGTCAGGCTGGTTCCTCTGTGGTATCACAAGTAGTATCAGCACCTCCTGTCAACGCGTTCAAGGAGAAACTAGATCTTCACAGAGATATCTTCTGCAAGGATTAACACAGGCCAACTGGTCTACTATCCTTATAACTGAAAACTGAAGAGAAACTGAAACTGAGCTAGATGGTTATAACGTTGGTACGAGAGGCTACTTTAACAGCTTTTCTATTCATAATTTACAGTTCCCACAAAAGGAATATAAAGCACAGTCAACACTGTGCACTAGATATCAATGTAACATGTTATAAAATAAATCCAAACGCCAAAATATGAGGCAACATAATTCTTGGCCTTTGAAAAATGTGGTTAAACAATGTTCGAACAAACAGAACTAAATCAAAGGATATGTATTTAAAAGTAGCAATTAAAATCAAAGATAGTATTACAGCAAAAAGGATAAAATACAATACTTACAAACAGTACTGCTATTTGATGAATCACAGTGATATTTGATGAATCTACAAAATGGTAAATATAACTACCATATGCTTTCAGTTTTCAGTTATGAGGATAGTAGACCAGTTGGCCTGTGTTAATCCTTGCAGAAGATATCTCTGTGAAGATCTAGTTTCTCCTTGAACGCGTTGACAGAAGGTGCTGATACTACTTGGTGAGATAAAGAGTTCCAGTCGTTGACTACACGATAGGAGAAAGGCAAACTCCCGCTAAGTTGATTCGACCCTCTGGAAGACCCAGTCGATCAAGTTAAGTACTAGCTGTGCGAAATTAGTGGCATAGGACTAGTTGACTTCAGAAGTGAATTGCAAGATGTTAGACAATTATGGCCAATGAGTACCAGATCTCTAGAAAAGAACGTCTTCTCTAATTTAGATCGATCTACATCAGCTAAAAGCAAGAAAGCAGAAGGGATTTCCCCATCAACTGCAGGAGTGAACCGAACAACTGGAACCAAGCCCTAAGAACTAGACGCGAGAGATCAAAAACTACCAGTTTTCTACGCTCGCACTATCAATATTGGATATTGGATTCGAAGTATCGTTTCAACAACCTACAGGTGCTTCATAACTAAGACTGATTACAAGTTTCCAGTTAATGAAAATTGCAGACTTTTGGTTCTGGAATGAAACTCAAAGCAATAAAGCGATTGGATTAGACTACCAAAATTAAAAATAGCTTACAAGCATTAATATTTAAATCAACCACCTGTGAGCATGTATTCGCGTCGTGATTGGTCTATCAAGAAGTAGCTTGTTTCACTACCACTATCTGTGAGGCGTTTGAAACCCTACTCATGAACTTTCCAATTTTGATTTCTAGGTGGATTTATACTGTCGTTGCAAATAACTTGATTTTCTTGATTGTTTTTTATTATGAAGCGTAAGTATCATTATTTGCAGTTAATGTCAATCTCAAATAACTTTGTACAAGCTAGTGTAAACTGAGGGATTTTTCCACACTCTCTTCTAGGTTTTGCGGAACCGTTTCGGGTCTTTGCTGGATTCCAATACAGTCAGACTACTCACTCCCTTGCTGTAATTCATGGTTTTTGCTACACCCCCACAACTTCCTTCCCTTTTCCTCCCTCCCATGGACTTCCCTCACCGGGTTCGCATCTCTTCCAGGGTATGGTGGTGCAGTGACCTTGCGAACCTCTTGGCGAGATCGCGTATATGCTTTGTAGATCCTCAGGAAGAATTCCGGGATTAGGGGGCTTAGATTCTCTCACATGAATTACGGTGTTGCGCAGGATCTGGAGGCACCTCCTGGATAATAAGAGCGAGTGTCTAGCTCTCCATCACGTTCAACATTACCGGTGGAAGTGGGTTAGGTTGGTAGCATTTAGAGCTCTGCCTGTCCCCTCCTTTGATGATAGGAGAGAGAATACTAGGTTTCCGCTGTCGTGGAATCATGTGTTTGTCTAGGGAGTTTTGAAGCAGGTAGCGGAGCGGACCGTATAAAGCAACCACACATTTTTTCAACGCAGATGGCCGAAGGTCGTCACATCCCTGCGGTTTTCCTGCGCGAAGCTCTGGCAGCTTTCCGAGGACCGCAGCAAGGCTCATCTCTATTCCATGCAACTGCTTTACATCAAGTAGTGCTGAAGGTTGCCCAGACAGCTGGTAACTTTGGTTGGCTGGCGGTATGTCTGGTTGTGGGCTGAGGGTTGTGTCGAAAGTCTCCATCCAGTGGAGGTCCTCTTCGCCAGAGGGTTTCAGCAGGCAAGCTCCCTGGTAAGTAGACTTTCTCTTCTCCGCAAATCGATATAGGTTTCTAGGATCCACGTCAAGCTCCTGAGCGAAGTTCGTCCTGCGCGACTTCCTATCCCCCTCGATTTATCGCAGCCATATATGCACTACGATCCGGCTCATTTTTAAGAATCCTCTATCTGGGCCATGGTATCCACTTGGCTTCAGAAAGGCACTCAGTGCCTCGTTTCAGCCATAAGATTCGCTTCTCCTGCATCCCTGTAACTAATGTGGGGTTTTCAGAGTTAGCCCTGCTGATGATGTCCCTCGCTGGTTCTCAGTGCTAGTCAATCGGCAAAGCATCCCCCTGTAAGGGTTGCGGTGCTGTTGGTGGATACTGGTTCACCGCAACGTGGTTTATCTTCCTGCAGCATAAACAAGGATGAGATTGAAACACTTCCATGTGGTGCCCACTGCGACGGAAAAGAGCTCGAACCTAAACTTTGCCTGTCGGCGGGTATTCTCCGGCAAGAAGACAGACCAGTCTCGGCGGATTTCTGTCCTATCCCCATCGAGTGCCTCCGCCATAACTTCCATTCTGCCCAGCCCTTTTTTGGTCTGAGTGGGTTCCATTCGAACCTCTGGCTTGAAGTTGCCCTACACTCCGCGACGTTGAAAGTTAGGGCGTTAGATTTCCTCTCTGTGACAACCCAGTCTTGCCGTGTAGTCGTCGCTAAGATCATTGCCAAGAACGGTTTCCGTCTCCATCCCACGTTGCTAGTGGAGGTCCGTTAGACTCCTCCTACCGTAGGCAATGACAAGATTGAAACTAAGGATGAAATATTCATCGGTGACATGTTGTACAATGGTGGTGAAACCTGCAGTTTCCACTGAGACAGTCATTTTCGCAAAACGCTTCATTTCCTCTTCTGCTTCTCTCTCCATTTGCTCTCAGTACACCCACACTGTCCCTCACGTTTCTCCCGGCTGAGTTGTTACCCACTGCTGGTGATTGCTTATAATTTCTGCCAGCCTCTCAGCGATACTACTCATATTCATTCCGATCAGTGGTGTTCGCTACACTACCAGGCACTTAGCGTGGCTGACCGCGAGGCAGCACCAAATGGGGCCTTGGTGCTCTAGCAGTACGGTTTCAGTAGCTCATTCACTCTTGAGGTGGTCATTCATAAATATTGGCACTGCCTCCCTCCTTGCGTTTCCTATCTCTTCTGGACAAACGCACGCCACATATACTAGTTTCTATTCTGCTGATATTGGCGATGATCGAGTTCCTGTTGGGGTTGTGAGGTTAGGAAAAAGGCGGAAAGAGGGAAGTAGTAATTGTGCCATCTCACCTCTAAGCCCCCCCCTAGCACCGTTGTAAAGAGCCCTGCAGGTGCTTCTTGGTGGTGTCTCGGTAGTGGTGGGCTACGGACAGTCATGTACATCGGCGAACGTTGTCACTGCTCGGGAAGTTCCGATGAAACCGGCCTGGTCAGGTCTCACAACAGCAAACGTTCCCTCTGGCATTGTTCTCAGCTTCGTTTCTTCTTTGCATCTTTTCTAATGTCGCCCATTTTTCGCGATATGCGGTGGGGTTTGTTTCCACGGTAACCTCAGGGTTGGAAGCTGATGTGGCTGGGATTACAGCTGGTCGTTGCTTGACCGTTTTGGACTACTCACACGCGTGGCTGCTCATGGAACTACCCTAGCATTCTTCTTTGACTCTCACTCCTGGTAGCGGTTCGTGCGGGCCCAGCCAGCTGAGCAGCCGATGGATTATCCGTTACGACCTCCTTAGGTGAGGTCGAGGGTAGAAGCGACTGCATGGCACCGTCAGCAGACACACCAGAACCACGTGCATGGGTGATGCATCGCGAAGGCATAATAATGGTCTGGTACACTGACAGTGTACCCACTTGTTACGATCGTGTTGCCGAAAAGCCACCCCCTTTGACTACGGTGAGACCACACCTGTAGCAACCGTCCCCACAGCCGAATTATTTAGTCAGTGACCTTCTATTTGTTTTCTACCCTTCCCCTTTCATAGCTTTTACGGCCGGGCTATGGTTCAGGTGAGGTGCGTCAGTAGGACATGCTCTTCGCTGAAAGAGGGAGGATAGGTTCCGGGAGGTGTATGGGGCAGGAATTTGGTTTTTCACAAGAATGGCATTCGTGACCTTTCTACCAAGGTCGACCCACAGGGCTGTGGACTTGGCTGTCTTTCCCTTCTTTTTTCTTATCTCACATTCTCGTCCTGGCTGAGTGAAAAACCCTGCTGAAAAATGCGCAGACTCCGCGGTAGGTTCCATACAACAGCGTACTTCAGGTTAGGCGAAGACCTACCAACAGTTGACCGTTACATATCTGCAACGCACTTGAAACACTGCTTACCTACTTTCACGTTTCAGCCTTAGATTCATATTTCCGGTTTGAGAAGGAGGATCTGTAAGTCTGTGTGAATCCTCATCAAGTTGATATCTCTGTCTTTTCCGCCCCCTTGAACAGTCCAAGCGACGATGGAGACACCCTTCCAGTGGGTGTTGGTTCCAAGAGCTGATTACCTAAGTCAAAAGCCAGTGCACTACGAAGACAAATTTCACCCTCTTCTGTTGTACTCTCCTGATATATCCCCTGAGTTGTTACTGGTAGGAAAGAAAGGAGATGGCCAATTAGATCGAAATTCATGCCTCAAAATCCTGTTTAATATAGTCAGATCTCACCTCCGCCCACGACTGGATAAATCAAAGAAACTCAGTTTCTCAAGTTTTTCTTCACAGGCCAGGTTAGCCATACTTTTCGAATCCTTTCCAGAAAGTCAGAATCAACCCAGAGATAATAAAAGGGTGGCTGTGCATGATTTAGTAGCCACAAAGGGTACACCTTCGTCGAAACTTATTTCTCACTTGATTTTTGTGCCTTAATCGCGGAGAATCACTAGGTATTTCGTGATAGGCGTCAATTCATTTTGTATGGGAGAGTTAGGTGGTGGCGCAGGACTGTACCGTGCAGCGCTCCATCCTCTGCCGACTTCCACAAGGTGAGTCTAAAAGTAATCCATGCAGTCTGTCCCTTGCCAGGAAGGAATTCTCCAATCCGTACAAGCAGACTTCCAGAGAATCCAAAGCTCTTCACTTCCCTGAGAAACCTGGGTTGAGGTATCCTGTCGAACGCCTCACAAACATCTTTGAAAATGGCTGCAGCAGGTATCTTATCATCCCTTGACCTGGCCCGTCTTGCTCTGACTGTGACAAGGGAAATATCTGTGAAGGCCATGCCGCGAGTGAGATAATAGTGCTGCCTCTTATATGGACTATAGTGGCTCCCTTGTTTGCTGGTTAAAAAGTTTTACGACAGTGCTTGTCAAGTGTATCGGCTGGTAACTCGATGGATGTTACCTACAGCCTGCCTTGTGAAAAGACATGAATATGGCATCTTTTTACGAGGGAATGTGCCTTCGTTGATGGGGAGTCTAAATATGGTGGTAAATGGCAAGCTACGAAAGGGAATAGGCTCTGTGAGCAACCGCGGGCGTAGTTCATCCACACCGCTGTTTCCTCACCATCTGCGGTACTCGGTGTCTCATTAGATTCCGATAAGAGCTCTACAACTGGCATCAGTTGAAGAAAAATCAGGAATCTGGGGCACCGGAAAGCCTTTCTGTCCTAGTATGAGCCCTCTCAGCGGTTCACAGCCGTGGCGCCGCCAGGCCTGGAATGTCACACCTTCCGGTTCCACTGCTAGCACATTACCACTTGGCCTCTTGTCAGAATCCATCGGGCCATACTTCTGCGTCTGTCACCTCAAGATGCGGCACAACCTTCACCAAATTAACCATCGGGTTCCAGCCCGGTAGCTCAATGGTAACGTGCTGGCCACTGAATCCGAAGTTCCTGGGTTAAACCCTGGGCGCATGGCCGCGTACTGCCGAGGAATCCCATGACCAGACGAAACACCGCTCGGCGCCCCCAGGTTTTTCATCGTGTCTCCAACCGATGCCAGTCCTTGATGGCTACCAACCTGAAATTAATAAATCCCCA